GAAGCAGTCTTCCCGCTGAGCAGGACAGTATTTTGGAATCACTGCAGTTTTATGCATAGTAAATGACTTAAGCAGAAGTTTGGTTTTTGTTTTGATATAAATATCCTGAATCTTCACAGTTCAAATGTTTGTTCTGGTGGAAAAAGAGAAGCAAGGCAGCCTCTAGTGGGTGTAGTGCATATTACATGTACCTTTGAAATGATAATCTAAAATAATTTCTTTAGCACATATTTGAATCCTTACTAAGCATTTTAGGACTGCGGATGAGTGCTGGAGAAGCCCTGTCCTGCTGTCATGGAATTACAGTTAAGTGGTAGAGACAGACATTAATCCAAATAGTAAAAACATAGGTATATATTTATAAACTCAAGGTAAAGTTTTTGGTGTGGACTGCATAGTCCCTGAGAAAGTGATGCTTGAAAATGCAAGATGTCATGAGACAATGGAGTGAGAGAGGATAGAGGGTGGGTTGGAAGTGCAATTTATGCAGAGGTCTTAATAACAGTAGGAAGCATGGGCTACTTACATAAAAAAGACCAATAGGGTGAGATGCCATAAAGCAAGAGGGAGTGCCACGAGACAAGGCTAGAAGGGGAGGCAGAGGCCAGTCCATGTATCCTCTTGTGTGTCATGATAAGGATTCTAGTGTTTTGTATTTTTTTTTTGAGATTTTATTTATTTATTCATGAGAGATACAGAGAGAGAGAGGCAGAAACATAGGTAGAGGGAGAAGCAGGCTCCCCACAGAGAGCCTGATGTGGGACTCAATCCCAGGATCCCAGGATCACAACCTGAGCCAAAGGCAGATGGTCAACCATTGAGTCACCCAGGCATCCCAGGATTCTAGCTTTGATTAGGATGGGGGAGAGGCACTAAAGGGTTTTACCCAAGGGGCAAGATGTTCAGATTTGCAATTTGAAAAAAAGTAAAATCAAAAAGTAGTATGTGGCTATACAGCCAAAGAATGAGGTATACAGAATGAGTGCCAGTTTTCTGATTAGTGTACTTGAGTGGAAGGTGGTGCCATCTCCTAAGGTTGTAAACATTAGGGAGTTGGGAGGCTTACTACCTAGACAAGGTTCATGGAGGATATCTTGAGTTTGATTTTAAACATACTCAGTTTGTGGGCATCCCGGGTGGCTCAGTGGTTTAGCGCTGCCTTCAGCCCAGGGCCTGATTCTGGAGACCCGGGATCGAGTCCCACGTTAGGCTCCCTGCATGGAGCCTGCTTCTCCCTCTGCCTGTGTCTCTGCCTCTCTCTCTCTCTCTCTCTGTCTCTCATGAATAAATAAATAAGATCTTAAAAAATAAAAAACATAGTTTGCCTCTCAAATGGATGTATTAAGGTTGGGATTACATATATGGATTTAGAGCTATTTGTTAAGATTTTTGTATATAGGTACTGTCTGACACCAAGGATATGATCAAAAAGCCTTAGATGGAGGGGCACCTGGCTGGCTCATTTGGTGGGGCATGCAACTGTTGATCTCTGGGTTGTGAGTTTGAGCCCCATGTTGGGTGTCAAGATTACTTAAAAATAAAATCTTAAAAAAAAATTTTAGACAAAAAGTATAAGAGTAAGAATGAAAGAAGCCCTGGGACTGAGTTTTGAGTAACTCAAAATTCAGTGACCACATAGAGACCTTTCTATGTTAGATAGGAAATTAGAGGGAAAACCAGAGCAATGTTCACAAAAGCCAAGAAATGACAGCTATTTAAGAAAGAAGATATGGTAAACAAAGACAAATTGAATGGATGATAAAAGACTGAAAGACTAGATTTTGCAATATTGGCTACATTACATTAATGAAAGCTTTTTCTCTGATATAATGGAAAACAAAGCCTCGGGTTGTTCGGGATCTAGATGACCAGGGAAAAAGAGATCATATTCATTATTTTCAAAATTTTGGTTGTGTTGAGGAGAAGAGGTGGCCAGTGCCTTTAAAAATGTTCTTTATTAATCCTTTATTTGTAAGATGTATCTTAGGCATAGGTGTGGCTTACCTCATTTTCAGTATAGTATTTCACCAAACCAAAACTGTATCTGTTCCTATTGTTAGATACTGTTTCCAAATATTATGATACAAATAGCAAAAGACAATTGAATTTAAAGTTTTTTACCTATATTTGTGTCTGATACGGAATTTATCTTAATACATTCTTAAGTGATAGCTATCCTACTGCTTCTGCCAGTTGGTTAAAAGCTTCAAACTAGACCTCTGTCACACCATGTACAAGTAAGTTCTAGATAACGACTGGTGAAAAACAAAAATCCAAAACTTAGAATTTAGTATTAATTTAAAACTATTTTTATGTGACACAGAAACAAGGAAAGTTTTCTTATGGAAAAAAAAACACACACAAAACTCAGTCCAGAAAGGATAAATTTGGTAAATTATACTGTATTAAAGTTACAAAAAAATCAATCAATAAATAAAGTTACAAAACTTCTATTTAACAAATAGAACTCTAAACAAATTTAGATTTTTTGTATGTATGGTGCAAATAATTATATCTTTCTAATTATATATAGGTAGGGAGACACACAGATACACATGCATGTAATGTATAAGTCAAAGAAAAAAGCCCAACAAGCACAATCCTATTTGATCAAAGGATACGGACACATAGTTGAAAGGATAGGAAACCCAATTGGCCAATAAAAACATGAAAAGATGTTCACCCTCACTAGTAATCAGACAAATAGATAAACAACAGGATGCCATTTCATCTTGTTTAGATTGGCATAAGATAAATATGATAATACCAGTCAATCGTGGGAGTTAGAGGAAATAGGAATTCTCATATACTGCTGGTGTGCATCTAAATTGTTATTGATATTTTACTACTGTCTTGTAAAGTTGAGAATACAGTTTTATTGCAGCAATTCCACTTAATAGAGATGATTTTCAAACTTATTTGTACATAAAATGGTTAGAAATACATTTTTTCACTACAATGTACTATGTTCATATAATGCACATGTATGCATGTTCACACAGGGAAAAATTAAAATACTTTTTAAAAATAATTTTTCTACTTCTGAAGTACTTTATTGTAATGTATTCTCTATCCTATCCTATTCCTTTTTTTTTTTTTTAAGAAGCTATCAGGATAATTTTCAAATAAATTATAGTATAGTTATATAATAGAATATATGTTTAAATCTTTAAAATAATTTATCATTTTTTGATGGTGCTGGCTGGAAAGGCTCATAAAAGGAATAATGGCTTTGCATGTATACTGGTAAAAATTAATTCTTCAGTAGGATAGAGAAGGCATGAGTGCAAATATTGGTGATAATAATGTTAATCAAATCTTGTAGAATGACCGCTTTTAATCACATAATTGAGTTTAAAATGTATATCCTCTCTCTAGAAGAATTTCAAATAATCTACATAGGTACTTCATGCTTTCAGTAGACAGAGTATAGCTCAGTATAATTCCTCACTCCTTAGGTATTGGTTGTACACAGTGGCTTTCTTCCAAAGAGTACAATATGAAAAAGGGGGGGGGGGAATAATTAAATTTATAGTGGAGAAACCAGACAAACACTGCCTTGGCCAGGTGATCCAGTTTAATATCAATTGTGATAAGCTATGTTATGTTGATGGTGTATATATACACTCTTGATAAGATGTGATTAAAAAAATGGCACTTTACACATGTAGATTTCCTCTCTCTCCCTGTCCTCTTCCTAAACCCATTCTAATCATGAGAAAAACATCAAAGTCTAATAGAGGAGCCTCCTGCAGTATACTGGACTGGTACTTTTCAGAACTTGCGAGACCATCAAAACAAGCAAATACTGAGAAATTGTCATAGCCAAGAAAAGCCTAAGGAGACTTGATAATTAACTACTGTGGTATCCTAGAACAGATAAAGGACATTAGATATGAAGACAAAAAATTGAATTCTTCTCCGGTGTATAGCTGGGCATGAATCATCTAAATAACCAACAACCTCTGTTGGTCTACTGGCCATGAGGAAATTTGAAAATTAGTTCTTATATGGCATTTGTAAAGTCACATATAATTTTTGCTTGAAAATGACCTACATCATGATGAGAAAAATATATACCCCAAAATAATAAGTATAAAGGAGCAAATGAACTAGTGTTAGTAACATGGCTTAATAGTTTCCCTGATAATCTTCTGAGATGGGATCCTCTTACAGTATGTTGATGATTTGCTGATAGCCAGTTTGGCTAAGCAGGCCTCAGACCATAAGACTGTGAAAACTTGAAATTTTTTTTTTTTTAAACTTGAAATTTTCTAGCTAAGAAAGGATATAGGATTTCTGTACAAGTCTCAGCAACTTCCTTACAGTTTTGACTGGCAATATTTACTCTTCACATGACAGATAAACAGAACCTAAAAGAACTGCAATACACCATCTTTAAATAATAGGCTCTTTAGGATGGTTTACACTGATGTAAACACTTAAAGCCTATGAGCTTAGTAAATAACCTTTATTTACGAGAACACGGGTTACATGAAATCAGAGCTATCCATAAAATTTGTGGTGATTATGACCATTTCTCTAGTTAATGTTATCTTTTGAGCACAGACTTAGGCTCCAAATTAATTTTTTTCTTTTTAGTTTGAAATATTTTTAGATCCATAGAGAAGTTAAATAGTACAGAGTTATAGTATACTCTTTACATTGTACCTAATGTAAACATTTTATATGACTACAGTATAATTCTCAAAACCAAAACATTAACATTTGTACAAAACTATCAACTAATCTGTAGTTTTTAGGTGAAATTCATTTTTTCCACTATTTTCTATTTTCTGACCCAGGATCCAGTCCAGTTATGTCTCTTCAGCCTCCATTCCATGACAGTTCTTCATTCTTCAGCCTTTCTTTGTCTTTCACGACCATGATAGTTTTGAAGAATACTGGTCTTTTGCAGACTTTTTTTCAAACTTTTTTTTTTTAATTTTTATTTATTTATGATAGTCACAGAGAGAGAGAGAGAGAGGCAGAGACACAGGCAGAGGGAGAAGCAGGCTCCATGCACCGGGAGCCCGACGTGGGACTCGATCCCGGGTCTCCAGGATCGCGCCCTGGGCCAAAGGCAGGCACCAAACCACTGCGCCACCCAGGGATCCCTCAATTTGAGTCTATCTGATATACTCCCATAAATACATCGAGGTTAGCATTTTTGGCAAGATTGCCACGTATTCTTTTGCCAAAAATACTATGTTGTGCCTTTCTTAGTGCACCATATTAGGGTTACATGATGTTAATGTGTCTTATTACTGGTTATGTTAACTTTGACCATTTGGTAAGGTGGTATCTGAAGGGTTTCTCCATTGTAAGTTAATGTTTTTCCCTTTGTAATTAATATATGTTTAGGTGATATTTCTTTGAGACTGCAAATACCCTGTTTTGCCTCAAATATTCACTTACTGAGTTAAGCATTTATCAATGTGTCCTGATGGCAATAAGTTATTGTGGTGTTTAGGTGTAATTTTATATTTTCCTTATTCCTTCTACATTTATTAGTTGGAATTCTGTGGAAAAAAGATGTGAAATTCCAAGCTCATTAATATCTCATTGCATTTTGGTGAAGATAAGAATGTCAAGTTACTACTGGATGAAGTAATTATCTCTAACATGATTTTAGAGAAAAAGTATCAACTATATCCTCATTTGATTTTCCTTCCTGGAATTCTTTTAGATACTCTCATTTGACCTTATCTTTCTTATATTGAAATAAATTCTTTAAAATTAAGGATCATTTAAGAAAATGGGTTAGAAAGTACATGAGGGGCACCTGGGTGGGGCTCAGTTGGTTAAGTATCTACCTTCAGCTCAGGTCATGATCCCAGAAGTCCTGGGATCTAGTCCTGAATCAGACTCCCTGCTCAGTGGGGAGTCTACGTCTCCCTCTACCCCTCCTCCCTGCTCATGATCTCTCTTACACACACACCCTCTCTCAAATAAAATCTTTGGGGAAAAAAAAAGAAAGTACATGAATTTTGGGGTTAAGGCCGGTGTATACAACTACTAAAGACCAATTAGAATAAAGTATAATGGCCAGTGAAATTTAGTATGATTAATAGAGTGCAATATATAAGATCATTACTTTGAAGAGGGGAAAAATTTATATCATGTAGTTTAGTAGGGAACCCCATTTGTGTGTTGCTGAAGTGGTTCAGATAAGGACATAATGAACTTATTTGGTGTGAAAGTAGAGAACTAAGAAACTCAAGCCCTTTTGAAAATAGAGCCCAGAGGTGCCTGGGTAGCTCAGTCGGTTGAGCAACCAACTCTTGATTTCAGCTCGGGTCATGATCTCAGGCTTGTGGGATCCAGCCCAGGTAGGGCTCTGTACCAATTGTGGGGCCTGCTTAGAATTCTCTTTCCCTCACTGCCCTACCTCTCCACTTACTCTCTCTCTCTTAAAAAAAAAAAAAAAAAAAAAAGGGAAAGAAAGAATAAATAGAACCCAACTGGACACTGAGAAATATTAAATATACAGTGTTTATATCATTAATATTTGGTAGCAATGAATATTCCAAGTCTTAATTAAGAAATTATAAAATTGATTTGACTGGAACAGGAAGATACATTATACCTTTTTTTAATCCCTTTTTTAAAAAATAATATAAATTTATCTATTTAGAGTTTGATTTAAAAAATAAAAGTCCCGTGCTTTACAATTTAGTTTAGAGTATTCCAGTACTTTACATTTGTATGGTGCCATGTCTTAATTACTTCCCACTAGACTCCTGCCACGGAATAAGGCTGATGGTGTCTTTTTTTTAATGGATAAGGAAACACAGGGATTGACTTGACTGGGAGACTTCTGTTCTCATAGAGTGCAACTTTTACTTTGGCTGTTAGAGCTCTGGAAAGGTCAAAGTTCTCAAAATTCTTGTTTGACTACTTCAGTAAGCTTTTGGGTAGTGGAAAATTTATATGTTCCTTAAACACATAGACTTTGATACTTTATTCAGAAAAGCTGTGTAATGGCAATGGGAAAATAAGAACGTTAATTCCAGGGAGTTATTCATAAATGCAAGTGAAAGTGGGAAATGACATAGATGTGTGCTTATTTATAACCATGATAGAGAGTACTAATGTTTCCATGATGAAGAGGAGATATTTAAATCAATGTGAGCTTCTGTACATCCAAATATACCATATGTATTTTAGCTGAATAGTTTAAGATCTAACTGGAAAGAATTAAGTACTTGAAAAGTGACTCACTTTGGACGACTAAATATGATACCTGATAGACTGTGTCCTGGAATGGAGGATAGAAAAAAGAATAATAATTGAATAGAATATTTTGAATAATTTTAGACCAATAAATCTAATAATTTGGATGAAATCAAATTTTCTAAAACGTATATGACTACCAAAGCTCACTCAACAATTAGTAAATAATCTGAATATTCCTATATATGTGAAGAAATGGAATTTATAGTTAAAAATCTTCCCACAAAGAAAAAGCCAGTGGCTTCACCAGTGAATCTGTTACACAGTAAAGGAAGAAATAATACAAATTCCACACAAATTCTTCCAAAAAAAAAAAAAAAAAAACAAACCCAAAAGAGGTAGCAACACTTTCCAACTCATTGTCTGATAAAAGGAGATTCAGACATTGCAAGAAAACAAAATTAGGGCAGCCTGGGTGGCTCGGTGGTTTAGCGCCGCCTTCGGTTTGGGGCGTGATCCTGGAGACCCGGGATTGAGTCCCATATCAGGCTCCCTGCATGTTTATCTCATGAATAAATGGATGAAGTTTAAAAAAAAAAATATATATATATAGTCTCATATCTTTTCATAAACATTGCTATAAAATGCTAAATAATATTTTAGCAAATGAAATCTAACACTTCATAGAAAGGATAACAATAACCAAGTGGGGTTTATTTTATTTTTTTTTCTTTTTGTTTTTTTTTTTTCCAAGTGGGGTTTATTATGGGAATGCAAGTTTGGTTTAACATTTGTAATTCAATCAGTAATTCATTCAGATTAAGAAGCTGAAAGAGAAAAAAACAAATGCTCACAATCATCTCCGTAGATCCAACAAAAAGGATTTGACAACATCTAGCATCCATTCATGATTTTAAGCTCTGCATGCTAGAAGTGAAAGCCAACTTCTTTAACTTAATAAAGGAAATCTCCGGGGATCCCTGGGTGGCTCAGCGGTTTAGCGCCTGCCTTTGGCCCAGGGCGTGATCCTGGAGTCCTGGGATCCAGTCCCACGTCAAGCTCCCGGCATGGAGCCTGCTTCTCCTTCCTCCTGTGTCTCTGCCTCTCTCTCTCTCTCTCTCTCTCTCTCTCTCTATCACAAATAAATAAATCTTTAAAATAAATAAATAAAGGAAATCTCCAAATCCTGGAAAACTGACAATTTTCTCCCTAAAATTGAAGACAAAGATTCCTGTTACTACTACTTCTGTTCAGCATCATACTAGAGGTCCTATTAGTACAGTAAACATGAGACAAGGATAAAAGACCTTCATATTGACAAGGAAGAAGTCGTTTATTCATAGGTGATATAATTATCTCTGTGGAAAATCAAAAAGATCTGTATAAAAGCTACTATAATAGTTTGTCAGTGTTGTAGGATACAAGGTGAGTATATAAAAAGTAGTGTTTTAAGAACAAGAAGAAATTGAAATACAAAATACCATTTACAATAATATCAAAAAATATAAAATATGTAGGGGTGAATTACATAAGCATGAGGAATGTTTTGAGAATTCTGGATATATTATCTTGACTGTATTGTACATTTTATATCCATACAGTCTGTTATAGACCAGTTGTACCTCAGTAGAGCTATAAAAATGCTATAAAGAACATTATTGAGGCACTTCAGAAAATGTGGAGTACAGATGGTAGATGAGATAAAATACTGATGTTGAATTTACTGAAGTTGACAATTGCTGTTGGTATATAAGACAGTATCACTGTTCTCAGGAAATAAACACTGAAGAATTTAGGGTTTAAGGGTCATGTTATATGTAATTTATCTTCAAATGGTTCCAAAACAATATTTTACATGCATGGACACACATATATGTGTGTATACTTTCATGGGGGTAAGACAGGCAAAGCATGGACAGTAGAGACAAGAGAAAACATGACAAAGCAAAAGAAAATATTAATATAGATGCATGTGGCTACAGGGTATATGGGTTTTTGTACCATTCTTGCAATTCTTTTATCAGTTTGAAATTATTTTTAAATAACGCGTATTAAAAAATCTGTATTAAAGAAAGTGCTGTTAGGGCACCTGGGTGGCTCAGTGGTTGAGCATCTGCCTTTGGCTCAGGTCATGATCCCTGGGTCCTAGGATTGAGTCCTGTATCAGGCTCCCTGTGGGAAGCCTACATCTCCCTCTGCCTATGTCTCTGCCTCTCTTTCTGTGTCTCTCATGAATAAATAAATAAAATCTTAAAAAAAAATAAAGTGCTGTCATTTACAAATATTTCTTATGTAGGACACAAGTAGATAATCAAAAGAAAAATTAACTGAACTTAACCAAAATTGGAAGGTACTGCTTTTTGAAAAACACCTAGAAAAGGGGGATAGGGAGAGTATTTTTTAAAAAGTCCGTTAAATACATGAGAAATCACTCAACATCATTAGTCATCAGGGAAATGTAAATTAAAACCACAATAGGTTACAAGTACACTCCCACATATAGAAAAGTCAAAACTAAACAGCTTATTAATACCAAATATTGTTGGCAAATATACAGAACAATTGGAGCTATCAGACATTCCTGGCCTGGAGGACATTTTGCTAGCTGAAATAAAGCTAGTCAGAGAAAGACAAATACTGTATGATTCTTACAGGAAATTTCTAAGAGAGTCAGATACATGGAGGCAGAGACTAGAATGATGGTCACCAGGGACTTGGAGATGGTGGTGGAGGAGAAATAGGAGTTATTGTTCAACAGCTATAAAATATCAGTTACACAAGGTAAGTTCTAGACATCTGTATAACATTGTGCCTATACTTAGCAGTACTGTATTGCACACTTAAAGATGTAAAAGGGTAGATCTTCCATGTTAAGTGTCCTTACCAGAATTAAAAAAAAAAAACAAAACACATAAACTAGTGGTAAACCAGTGACACTAAAGTTGATGCTTTGGTATAAAAGTTTGGGAGTTGGTTCTGTAAGAGATTTACATGTATTTGATTTTAGACTCAAGGATGGCAAATGAATTTTTCTTACATGATAAATCCAACTTCATGTACATTAGCAACAATAATATATTACTTAATGAGTACTGACTGTGGTAGGGATTCTTCTGCATATTTTACACACATCAACTCAATTCTAGTAACACCCTAGCAAGTAGATACTATAGTTATCCTCATTTAATTGACAAACTGAAGCACAAAGAAATTAAGTAACTTGCCTTAAGTTACACAACTAGTAAGTAGAGAAGGCAGGATTAGAATCCCTGCAGAGGAATGCATTGGTATGTACTCTTTACCATTATGCCATCCCACCCCTCCAAGAAAGGTACCAAGATCAAGTCTGGACACACTGGTCATCTGAACAAGTGTTAGAAAAGGCTTAGGGTCTCCAGTGTGACCCAGCGTTCAAATCTCATTCTTCCTCTTCTAGTTATATGATGTTTGGAGCATCACTTAGGTCCCATTAGACTCCATTCCCTGCTGTAAAAATGAGGGTTCTACTACTTCATTGACAAAGCAGATTCTGAGGATTAGAGGAAAAAACATAAGTACTCAAGCCCAGGTTCTGATGCTGAGCAAGTAATCAATAGTAGCTAGTGCTATAATTGAATATTCTCACTGTGGAGAAATATTATACACAATATAAAGAATATAAAGCACATTACACTTACTATAAAAAGTTAAGATAAATTCTTAAATGGCATTTATAGTGAAATTATAGATTGTCAATAAAGTTTTAAAACACTTGCTGAAAGGACAGTATGTGAAATTGTATAACAGGTAGGTAAAACAGTTTGGAAAAAGTTTAGCAATACTTTATATAAATTTAAACATCTTTCCATTTGACCCTGCAACTTTTTTTAAAAAGATTTTATTTATTTGAGAGAGGAGGGAGCACAGGCAGGCAGAGGGGCAGAGGGAGAGGAACAAGAACTCCATGCTGAGCAGGGAGCCTGATGCAGGACTCCATCCTAGGACCCTGAGATGACCTGAGCCAAAGGCAGATGTTTAACCTACTGAGCCACCCAGACACCCCTAACCCAGCAATTCTAATTCTGTGTATTCAAGAGAAATGAAAAAAAAAATATATATATATATAAAGTCTTGCAAATTTACTGTTTAAAAAGCGTTATAATAGCCCCAAACTGGAAACAATTCACATATTCAAGAATTTAATAAACACTTTGTAGTATAGCCATACAATGGAATACTTAACATTAAAAAGGAACAAACAAATCACCTCCATAAGTCAAAAATTATGCTGAATGAAAATAGAACAGACTGCATGCTGCATGAGTCCATCTCAGTGATGTTCTAGAACAATCAATATTAATCTTCAATCACAGAAGACAGAGCAGCAATGGCTTATGATTGGGACTGTGGGGCAAGGATTACCTTCAGAGGGACATGGGGGGGAATTCTTAGAGAAAATATTCTAGATCTAGATTTTGATAGTTATGTGAATATATATTTGTCAAAACTTGTAAAACTTAAAATGTGTCCTTTTTTATATATAAAATACACTAATAAAGTTGACTGAAAAATTTAAAAAATAGGTACCAATCTTTAGAAGTCTTCACAAAAAAATTAGTAAGACTCTTAAAATAATTAGCACTTGTTTAAATAAGTGCCATATATTATGATGGAGAGTCCTTGTACTCAAGAAAATAGCTAGGGGTAATTTTAATTTAATATGCATATTTAAAAAAATTAAAAGCACAGTAGATAGTTTTTTGGATCTGAAAGAATTATCACAGAGCTCCTTGTTAGCACTGAAAAATGGGCTGCTGGATACTCTATTTTTAAATACAGAGTGTATGAGTATTTAAATCAAGGAAAATCAGAGAGGGGTCTAATTCTGGGTGGCCAGAGAAACCTTGAGGAGATGACTGGAGAAGATGCAAGAAAATGAAGAAGCAGGCTGCCATGGGACCAACCAACTAAAGAGCCCAGAGACAGTTTTTGTCGAACTGAGAACTTTGCTGGGATGCAAGACCTTCAGTGCCAAAAGCAGGAAAATCCCAGGGAAAACAGGAGTAGCCATCTCCTCCACTTGTACCCTAGGTTCCATTTTTTCTGACTTTCATAAGGATTTGTAACCCCTGCGGTTATTCCAGCTTTCTGTGGCAGCTTTGACCTCTTTCTACGTCATCAGTCATCATCATTCCTCAGCACTCAAATCTACTATTTCCTACCTGAAGAAAATCCTCTATTGGCCCTACCTCAATTTTCATTTTTCTTCTTTAGAGTTAACACTCTCCCAAAGAGCTGTACTCATTTTGCTGCCTTTCCCTTCATCGCCACCTGTTGGCTTTTCAAACAAGCACTTTAGAAAGGGCTCAGTTCTCGTTATGTTGAAATTTCTCAGTAAGCTTAACAAGAACTTCCACAAACCAAATCACCTGCTGCCCTGCTCTTACTCCAGTCTTAACTGTATCTGACAAAGCTGACCACCCCTTCCTTTCTCGAAACAGTGGTATTAATAATTTTTCTATTTGAAATACTGTCATTTAGAGTATTCAATGTCTTCTTAATTCATCAAATTTATTTTGTTTTACTGTGTCTATTTGAAGTGATAGTTTTTTCTTTAGAAGGGGTTGTGAGATAAGAGAAATCTATACTGCAAGTGTTAAATGAAGTTATCGTTAGGATAATCAGTTTTCAGCTAAAAAATTATTTCCGTGTACAATGTATCAAGAGCCTTAAAGGTGCTCATAGCCTTTGACTTAGTATTGAATTTATTGGCAGTATTTTAAACGTACAATGTGAAATGTTGAAAAGTTAACATAAAAATTACATTAAAATGTAAATTAATCATGTTGACATTTATAATAATGAAAAAATGAAAACCCAATGTTTAACATTTATAGAGGTGAACAGGAAAATTAAGATGTGCCCATAGAATAAAGTGTGGTGATGGTAAATAATGAGTAAGAAGAGTTTTTTTTAATAACAAAGAAATGTTCATGTATAATAATATATGAAATTATGAGACTATAAAAATGTAGATTGGATAAAAACTGTAAGAAATGTAACAGATTTTTCTTTAGGTGATAAAATCATAAGTAATTTTTCTATATTTTCCAAACTTACCAGTGATTTTCTTAATTTTTTGAAGATTTATTCATTTATTTTAGAGAGAGTACAAGGGTAGGGGCAGAGGGAGAGGGAGAGAGAGTCTCAACCAAACTGCACTGAGCATGGAGCCCAATGCAGGCCTCGCCCCCATAACCCCAAGATCACAACCTGAGCCAAAACCGAGTCGGACACTCAACCATACTTTGCCACCCAGGCACCCCATGATTGTTTTATTTTTATATTCAGTATACCATCATTAAGATGGTGCTTGCTGTATAGTTGAAGCTCATATATATTAGAAAAAGCAGAATATTTATTGAGAATCTTTCCTTAGGTTGCAGAATAGCACCGACCCACGAAGGGACTTCTATACTTTGTGGAATGTCTTTGATATTTATGACTCTTAAATCTTTCAGGAAAAAGTGGCCCATAATTTGCCCATTTGCATTATTTTATATTCTTTTTATGATGTACTTGACTTTGACAAGGATTTTGTTGTTTTTTGTTGTTTTTGCCACCCTTTCTTCCATGATGTAATTCTTTAGACCAAGAAGAATAAGATGTGTCTGTAATTAAAATTACTTCATCTTTGGTGTCTTTCAGCCAAGGGTCACTGTATGTAACTGATGTTAGTTATATTACAAAAAAACAATTTAAGAGTACTTTGTTGTTTTTAATCTACAGGGAGATTCACCAACAAAAGTAAATTATAGACTGTCTTGAAAATTCCCATGGACTTGATCTTGGCAGTTAATGGCATACTGTCTTACAGTATTATTTAAATGAAGTTTCATGTTGCTTAGTTTTCCTTCAGTAAGTATGAGTAAGCTTATCAGATCTGTAACTATGTCTTCTTGGTGTTCCCTGTTGTATCCCATAAACAGTTATGTATAGAATACTTTCAAGAATATTTAAATTGAAAGAATGAATATAACTTTCCCTTTTTTTTTTTATTGGTTCAGGAAACTAAAAGTGTTCCTTTAGTGAATGTACATTTTCTGAAACACATGGAATTTAACTACTTTTTCCTTCCTATAATTTAGCTAAATTGACAAAAATCATGTTATCTGTCAGCAGAATCTACAAGTCTCCTGAGCTGATAACCCCCCGCCCCCCCAAAAAAAATTCCACTAACATTTAAGTCATGTTAAATTCCAAGCCTATCAGTGGTGGTCATATGGGCAACCAAGAGCACCATGAATTATATTTTCTATTTTATACAGGGTTTGATTTAACTGAACCCTGACTCATTTTAGGACTCATTTAATTCTTTGTTTTTTGATCCTCTGTTAGTTTTTATAAGCTTAGTGTGCATTAAAATTTATTAGCAATAGTTTATTGGTGTTAATTGCGTATTATACTTGAACTTTCTCTTTTTGTTTGAATATATTTTAGTATTATCTCATTATTAAAAAATGTATATTGTTGCTAGCATAAATGAAAGTGAAGTTGTAAATTATGTAACATTTTAACACACATGTTCAATCTACACACAGTCACCAAAATATTGAAAAAATAAATAATTGCATTAAGGTTTACCCAAATTTAATTTTGTTTCCTCTTTCAGTCTTTCTTGAAGATTAATTAGTTACCCTGGATATGCTGCTCTTCTTTATTTTGGGATTGCTTGTACATTTTGTGTTCTTCGGCTCCATCTTTGATATTTATTTTACATCTCCTTTGGTTCATGGAATGACTCCTCAGTTAACGCCATTGCCTCCTCCAGCAAAAAGATTAGTACTATTTGTTGCTGATGGCCTGCGGGCTGATACACTTTATGAATTAGATGAAAATGGAAATACTAGAGCGCCATTTATTAGGTAAGCATGTTAGCTGATACAAAGAACTCTCTGGAAAATGTTGTCTTGCCACTGTTTTATCTCATGTTGGACATAGAAGTGATGATGAGAAAGGCAATAGGGGCAAATATATATCTGCCTTTGTCTTATGGATTAACAAATTTATTTCCTCCCAGGAGATGTGTATGACATTAGCTGCTTGGCCTACCTTGTCCTAATTATCCAAACCTGGCTTACAACTCACTGTATTATCTTTTTCTTATAAAATAAACTTGTTATATTTTAAAAATAATGACAAACATAAATATTAATGAATTGCTAATTACAGTGGTATTTAACTAGAAAATATAGAATTCAACTGATAATACACCTATAAAACATATGAAGCCCTTCCAAGTTGATATTGCTGTTCAGTGTGATTTTAGAGTCTGAAGTGGCTTTGAAAAGAAATGTTTAATTTTTTAAACTGTTGGGGCTCCTACAACTATAATTGTTATTTTTCTGATTAGTGGCATGTCCCTCAAAAGCCCTTCTTAATGCTGTTGTATGTAGAGAGATTAAAACTCAAATCCAAGTGGAAATTTATCTAAAATATTTCACCTTCCCTTGTTCTCACCTGCCATCACTACTTTATCTCTTTACTGTGCTTTAGTTTTCTTTATAGTATTTAGCATGTGCAGGTTCCTTGAAACCTGGGCCTTTGTTTTATATACCACTTTATTTCCAGTTCTTAGAACATGGTAGGCCGTTAGATATTTGTTGACTGCTAGAATAATGAATGAACTTGGATTCCTGTTGAATTTCCAGAAATAAATTTATGGTGGCTCAAAGGAATGCATTAGATAAAAGTAATTAAGTGAGCAACTCAGGGCAGTGGAAAATGTGAGTAGGAAAATAAGATCAAACCATAGTTAAGTGCACTTCACAAGAATGTGTCACATTAATTTCCACAAATAACTTAAAATTTAGGTGTATATTTAGATGACTTTCTTAGTTGTCAAAGAAAGGAGAAAAATACAGTTCATCGCAAATTAATAAAAGTATACCAGTTGTTAGGGAAAAGGTGAGCCTCCCTGGTGGCACTTCTTTCTCCTTTGGGTGGTGGGTAGCAGGCCAAGAGCTCACGTGGTTGGTATGCCTTGGCTTATATGCCATCGTGTGTTTACAATTTCAGAAATCTAGTTTTTTTTAAACCTGTTTGTAAAATGTTTTACTTGTTCCTCATTTTCTTTCTTAAAAAATATGATCTGAACTGATCAAAATGTTTTTAAACAGATATGCAAATTTCTTTTTTATTTTTTAAAGTAGTTTTTTCTAAAAGATTTTATTTATTCATTAATGAGAGAGAGAGAGAGAGAGAGAGAGAGAGAGAGAGGCAGAGAGAAAAGCAGGCTCCATGCAGGGAGCCTGAAGTGGAACTTAATCCCGGGTCTCAAGGATCACGCCCTGGACCGAAGGCAGGCGCTCGACCGCTGAGCCACCCAGGCGTCCCTCAAATTTCTTTCTACCTCCTACTTTGTGTTGAAATTTACTTTTCATTAAATACTGAAGAAGTTAAAAAATATTTTTCCCTTAACAAATGGTTCAATGGTTTTCAAACTATGCATGCATTTTACCAAAATTGGTTTTAGTTTGAGGTAATTCAGTATTAAAGAGTATCTAAACCAGTACTTGTAGTTATTGTTATGGGCTTCAAACATTCATCTTAAAAACTGTTACCAATGCAGTCAGTGTTTTATAGCTCGTTACTCTGCTGCTCTTTAACCTGCAGTGGCATTGCTGGTCCTTTGCTTTCATTGCAATACAGTTTAAGATCTCATGACATTTCACTGCTAAACACTTTTGCATGCATCACCTAAGAACAAGGACTTTCTCCTGTATGACTGCATCTAACACATCTCACCTAATGAAATTTGACATTTATAGGGCAATATTCTGTGAGTCAGTTAATTCTCATGTAACAAACTATCTGAATACTTTGTGACTTCCTACAACAGTCCTTTATTTTGTTTCACAGTTCTTTGTAGTGGTTGGATGGTTCTTTGTCTCGCCTAAACTCATTTATGCTGCTGAATCCAGCTAGTCGGAGGGCTGGAACTGGGCTCAGCTGGGATTGGAAAGATTCCTTTCCTAGTTAAATTTTGAGTCATTTTTTGGGTTTGATTCCTCTGTAAAAATCTTATTTTTTCTAAAGCTCTAGTAGGATTTAATCATAGTCTGTGTTAACTATTGATCTATAATATCTTTTAGGAATATCATCATGCATGAAGGCAGCTGGGGGATATCTCATACACGGGTGCCAACTGAATCCCGGCCAGGTCACGTAGCCCTGATAGCTGGGTTTTATGAAGATGTCAGTGCAGTTGCCAAAGGTATTGTCTATATTCTATACGGATGATTTTCTGATATGAAAAATTTATGGCATATATATTGCTTCTTTACCACTGAATCATGACACAAGTGAAGTGTATTTTGACATACTTTTGGTAAGTATTTTAGTATGGCTTACTCATAAACACATACTGGTGTTGATTCAAGAATTAAGCTTTGGTCTTTTATTGTTCTGTGCTACTAAAATAACCTGACTGGATGGATCCATGGTTTTCCTAGATGTTAACTCTCAAAAGTTCAAAAGTGATTCTATATTTTAGTAAGAAGTTATCTATTGTAAGCTTTAAAAAAATTATGGTATAATACATGTAACATAAAATCTACTATTTTGCATTTGTTCTGTAATTCTCATTGTTACTTTTTGAAGAATACTTCTTTAGGGGCTATACTAATATTTCACCGTTCACCGTGTATATATTACTATTGTTACTATTTGCTTCTTTTCTCAATGACCTGAAGGATGGAAGGAAAATCCTGTGGGATTTGATTCTCTTATTAATGAAAGCAGGTACACATGGAGCTGGGGAAGCCCAGATATCTTGACTATGTTTGCCAAAGGTAAGAGTCATTGATTATATTACCTCAGATAGTATAGGTAGTAAAACAATATGCTAATTTTTGTGTATTACTTACTATATTTTATTGATTTTTGAGATACTTGTTTTTAAATATTTAACATCTCTGACATAGTGACATATATTACAAAGGATAGATGTGTCTGTGTGATATTTTTCTTTTAGTTGTACTTGAAATATATGGGCACATGTATAGTGGTTAGTATCTTGGATTCAATGAAATGGTATATGGCTCTAACATTTAACAGCTTTTGTAATCTTGGGCAAGTTAGCTAACTTCTCTGAACTTCAGTTTGCCTTGTAAAATGTAATCATAATAATTTCTATCTCATAGGTTTGTTTTTAGGATTAAATTAGATAATTCCTGTGAAATATCTAACAATGTGCTTATCACATAACTTTTCATTATGATGGTGATTTTGATGTCTGGTTCATTTTACTTTGATAATTTATTAAGTTTGTAGATACTTACATAAAGATTTAAGTGCTATGACTTGTAATTCCTATTTTCACATATTCAAGATCATGCCATTTGGATTTGCTATATTTGTTTCTGTGCATTGATTAGAAATTTGTTTATAATTTTTCTGAAATCCCGGATTCCATTTGAATTTTGTCATTAAATGCTTTTTAGTGAGAGCAGAATGACAGGTCATTTCACTTAATGAAAGGTTTTGTAACATTATACTTAACCATAGATGTAATCTTAATAATTGGCATTATTGAATATTATATGTCCTGAAAGCAAAAATATATGTTCAGAATTTTACATATGATATTCAAAGAACACAATTATGTACGTCAGGGTAAAGAAACCTCAGACTATTTGCCATTTATATATAGTCTCCTTTTTTTGGAAAGCAGTTTAGCTTTTGGGGGGGCTGGTGGTGGTGAGTGACTATATGACCTTCCTACTTCTGGCTATCACTGGAAGGACAGGACCAACACCTGAATCAAAAACAGTCCAATAGGAGTGGACTTTTTTTTTATGATAGTCACACACAGAGAGAGAGGCAGAGACACAGGCAGAGGGAGAAGCAGGCTCTACGCACCAGGAGCCCGACGTGGGACTCGATCCCAGGTCTCCAGGATCGCGCCCTGGGCCAAAGACAGGCGCTAAACCACTGCGCCACCCAGGGATCCCCAGGAGTGTTCTATTTCTTAGAGTAACCAAAAAACCTACTCAGATCTGTACTTAGGATGTGGGAAGTGGAATGGCTGAGCGGTGGTAGTGTCATTGGAACTGAAGTGCTTTTATTAGAGATTATTACTTGGTCTGTCTCATCCTTATTACCTATCTCAGCAATTCACTAAGTTGATTACATTCTTAATAAAATCTTGTAAATATGTAAGATTAATATGTTTGTTGACCCCTTCAAAGAATTTAACAATAGGCAATATTTATTCCTTTATATTAAGAAAAATACAGTTTATGAATAGGATAAGTGAAATATTTGAATTTTCTTCTTGCTTTAGGATGTACCAAATGACTTCGTCTGTTTTAGATTGTAGCATTCACAGACGACAAATTTTTTGAATAGTTTAATCTGTACAGGGAAACGGACTTTGATGTTTATTTTTGTGCTGTGTGTATTAGCATTGTGACTTTGCTAAGTAATTAACTTACATGTAGTGTATCTGTAAAATTAGAATGGTGCTATGAGAACAAAAAGCAACAGCATGTTAAAGTAGTAGTCATAGTCCATTGCACTTAAAATAAATGTTCATTCTTTCTCCTGTCTTTCTCTTCCCTATTATAATATAAAATGCTGGGCAGCCTGGGTGGCTCAGCAGCTTAGTGCCGCCTTCAGCCCAGGACGGGATCCTGGAGACCCGGGATCAAGTCCCACGTCGGGCTCCCTGCATGGAGCCTGCTTCTCCCTCTGCCAATCTCTCTCTCTCTCTCTGTCTCTCTCTCTCTGTGTGTGTGTCTCTCTCATGAATAAATAAAATATTTAAAATATTAATAATAATATAAAATTATATTATATATAATAATTATATTATATATAATTATATATAATAATTATATTATTTTTATAAATTAAAAAATTTAATAATATAAAATGCTTTGTGAAAAATTTTGGTTGCTCACAAAAATCTTTAAATGGGGGATCCCTGGGTGGCGCAGCGGTTTGGCGCCTGCCTTTGGCCCAGGGCGCGATCCTGGGGACCCGGGATCGAGTCCCGAGTCGGGCTCCCGGTGCATGGAGCCTGCTTCTCCCTCTGCCTGTGTCTCTGCCTCTCTCTCTCTCCCTCTCTCTCTCTCCCTCTCTGTGTGACTATCATAAAAAAAAATCTTTAAATGACTACTTCATATTTCATGACAGATTAAAAAATTGTTAAAAAGATTTTTCCCAAAATTTCCTTTTCAGGTGCTAGTGGAGACCATGTTTATGCATATAGCTATGATGCTGACAATGAGGATTTTGGTGCCCAGGATGTAACAAAACTGGATACTTGGGTTTTTGATAATATGAAGGTGAGTACTATTGAGGTGATCTTCTTCAGCACATGTATTTGTACCTAAGTACTAGAAACTGATTTGTTAGTAAATGCATCTTAATTTTTCCTACTTGTATAAACTTGAAAGTTCTGTATTTGTACATACTATTTTAAAAAGACTAGATTCTAAGAAATTACACTTTCTACAATAACCAATTAATGGATGTTTTTAAAAAAATCTGAAAAAAGATAACTTTTTAAATTTTTATATTTCTGACAGTGAAATGGGCTCCATAGATTGGAATTCAGGGAGCCTGCATTTCATTCCTATGTGCTGAATAGTCCTAGGTAAACCTTGATCTTTCTTTGACCATACAATAGTCTTTTAGCAGTAGAATCATGTAAGATGTATGAAAAATGCTTTTGAAAGTGCTGTTCAGGGCAGCCCAGGTGGCTCAGTGGTTTAGTGCCACCCTCAGCCTAGGGTGTGATCCTGGAGACCCGGGATCGAGTCCCACGTCAGGCTTCCTGCATGGAGCCTGTTTCTCCCTCTGCCTGTGTCTCTGCCTCTCTCTCTCTGTGTCTCTCTCATGAATAAATAAATACAATCTTAAAAAAAAAAAAAAAAAAAAAGAAAGTGCTGTTCAAATGGAATGCATTTATAATAACATGATTGTTTAAAAATTGCACTTTAGAGAAAGATAAGCAAAAACAAATTAGCAAGTTAGTCATAATATCCATATCCATGGGTTTCTCTAAGCAATAAAGGTGTTTAGACTATTTGATAGTGACAATTACCAGTTTTCACCGGGGATCCGGTAGAATTCATTTTGAAAAATTGTGTGAAAATCTAAGTTGTGGATATTGCCTCTCTTTTCTTCCTGTCCATTGTTTCTCATTTAGATATAACAACTTATAATTTATCTGTTGTTAGAAGCACTCATTGATTGACCCTTAATGATTCTTCTTACCAGTAGTGTCTTTCAAAGTGACCCTGCGGACTTCTCCATGATACAGTCATTTTTGTTAGCTTGTAAATAAAATCCTAAGTATGTGTCTTCATTTTTCTTTGTAGTTACTTAGCAGGAATTAAGGGTTCAATACATTCTTTGATAAACCATATTTCTTCTATCAGGATCTTTCTCCTTGAAATTTTCTTTTTTTATTTAATGTATACTTTTGTCAACAGGGAAAACTTGAAATTAAATAAGATCTCTTTAAGAAAATAATTGGCAAATTTTACTTAGCTAATTATTATTTCTTAATGTAATCTACTTATGTTAGTATTTGCTGAAAGGCACTTGGCTTCTAATTTCATATACATAGCTAAAAATGTTCCAGAATCATGGATTTGATTCCTTGTGTATGGCAGATATAGCTTGTGGCTGGCCTGCGTTTATGCCTTTTTTCCTTTATTTATTTCAACACTGCTAGTGATCAGAAAAAATTATTTGCCTATGACTTCATAAAATATGGCATATATGTATAATAATAACAGTAATATGAAATCATCAGCAATGGGAAAATGGTGTGAAGGGAAAATATAGGGACTAAGAATATGCCTTTAGAAAATCATGATCTAAATAGGTAGAGGAAGGCTTTCCTGAGAGTATTACAATGATCTCAGAAGTATTGGAAGAAATGGATGGATCTGGACTGCATGTGAACAAGTATTTCAGGCCAACAGCAATCAATATGTAAATCTTGGGCACTGAAGAGCCAGCATAATAGATTTGAGGAACTGAAAGAAAGGGAAGTTAAGGTGGCAGGAATACTGACTGGGAGCAAGATCTGAAGTAAGGCTAGAGAAGGAGTCAGGGGTCTTACCTAGACTTGTGTTCTGGTTAGATACTCAAGCTTAATCCAAGCAGAACAAATCCATGTAAATGTCTACTCACTCTTTTAAACTGTGGTAAAATACATATAACAAAATTTGCCATCTTAGCCATTTTTAAGTGTATGGGTTCAGTAGTGTTAAGTATATTCATATTATTGTGCATCCAGACTCCAAAACTTTTTCATCCTGCAGAACCAAAACTCTGTGCTCATTAAATAACTCCTCATTTTCTTCCTCTCTCAACCTCTGGCAACCACCATTTTACTTTGTTTCTATGTATTTGTTCCTATATGTCTATGTTTTGTACCTAGATACCTCATATAAGTGGAACCATACTATATTTGTCCTTTGTGAGTGGCTTAGTGTGATTTCACTTAGCATAATGTCTTTAAGCTTCATTCATGTTGAATCCATTTGCTTTTTAAAGCTCTGTTTGTGTATCATCTCCTTTAGTAGGCCTTCCATGACTTCCCTTTGCTTCACCTCACTTCCAGTTCCACTTAAATAACACTCTTCTATATTCCCTTGGTACCTCTATCTTAAGTACTTTATTATGCTATACCATAATTCTTGATACTTTGGCAGATCCCCCTTCAATCCTGAATACATCTTGTTGGTAGAGATACTGACTTTTTCTCATTGTTAACTCATTTCCTAGCAAGGAATCATCTGGTACATAGATACAAGTATTAGCTTAGATTAGGTTCAGTTCTGTGTAATAGGGGGAAAAAACAGCTTAAAAGTTTACTTTTATCTCAGTAAAGATAGTGCCAGAAGTAGGCAGCCCAGGATTGATGCAGTCCAGGACTTCCATAATGGTTCCATGGTGTCAATAAGACCCAGTCTCTTGAATTTCTCCTCTGTCCTCAGAGCATGAGTTTTATCTTCAGAGTTGTTATTTCAAAGAGCCTTAGGTCTTCATAGTCTTTTGACTGAAATACTTGATTTATATCTCATTGCCACAACCACTAAGGCACACTTAGCTGTAAGAGAGGATGGGAAATATGTAGGTTTTAAGGTTGAGCATTGCCATGTTTCATGAAATCACAGGTTTCTACTCAGAAAAAGAGAGTGCATGTTGGGGTAGTCATCCAGTAGTTTCCCATGACACACAACAAATATTCGTTGAGTATAGAAATGAAGGAGTGTGTTCGCAAGATAAGAAACAGTAGGAACGGGATCCCTGGGTGGCGCAGCGGTTTGGCGCCTGCCTTTGGCCCAGGGCATGATCCTGGAGACCTGGGATCGAATCCCACATCGGGCTCCCAGTGCATGGAGCCTGCTTCTCCCTCTGCCTGTGTCTCTGCCTCTCTCTCTCTCTCTCTCTCTCTCTCACTCTCTTTCTCTCTCTGTGACTATCATAAATAAATTTAAAAAAAGAAAAAAAGAAAAAAAAGAAACAGTAGGAGCTGATGGTCACGAGTAGAGTAGATATGGAAGGGAGAGTAACTAGAGTATATATTACCTCTTGTGTCCAAAAGACTAACTTTTAAAAAGCCCTTAGGAATCTAACAGGTTGAACTCTGTAAGATTAGTATTTCATAGTCTCCCAGATCTTACGTCCATATATGAATGAATAGCACTTTTTCCATAGTGGAATTTTTTTTTTTTTTTTTTTTACCAGTCATGGAACAAATTTTAACTTCAGGTGCTAGGTTTTTTGGGGTTTTGTCAGCTTTCAATTATATCTTTAGGGGGGATGCCTGGGTGGCTCAGCGGTTAAGCGTCTGCTTTCAGCTCAGGGTGTGATCCTGGAGTCCCAGGATCGAGTCCCACATCGGACTCCCTGCATGGAGCCTGCTTCTCCCTCTGCCGATGTCTCTGCCTCTCTCTCTGTGTCTCTCATGAATAAATAAATAAAATCTTTATAAAAAATATTATATCTTTAGGGTTTAACTCCTTTCTTTTGAAGAACTTACCACTTCTACCTAGATTAAAAACTTCTTAGGGGTAAAGTAAAATGTATATGAAAGCTAGGGACAGTTTTATGCTTTTGAGGAGGCTGTAGCAGGTTACATTCTATTCTTCAATAGCAGGCTTCTCTATATGGCACCATTTGTATTTTTTTAGCGTTTATAATAATGAATCATTTCAAAATATATTTCAGATTTTTATTGGACAATTAAATCACTCTTGTTAAAGTTACCATCTATTATATGGTTAGAGACATTTATGTGAATGGTAATTATGTATCTTGGCATAGCCTGTTAACTTACCTAAAATAATTTAAAAGTGTTCCCCACAGGGCAGCCCCAATAGCCCAGTGGTATAGCACCATCTTCAGACCAGGGTGTGATCCTGGAGATCCAGGATCGAGTCCCACGTCAGGCTCCTGCATGGAGCCTGCTTCTCCCTCTGCCTGTGTCTCTGCCTTTCACTCTCTGTGTCTGTCATGAATAAATAAATAAAATCTAAAAAAAAAAAAAAAAGTATTCCCCACAGGTACTTGTTTACGTGTTCATGTGTATGTAAGTAGAAGTTATGATTTTTGTCTTAGAACAGCATTATGAATCCAGCTTATCATTATGAAATTAATAAAATAATTTTTGACCCGTGTTTTATTAAGTTAGGGCATTTTTCTCTCATACAATGTGAAGAACATATTCTAGTCTTGGGCAAAGGAGACTGTTTAGAAGCTATTCACAATGATCCAAGTGAGCAATTATGGTTGGACTTGTTGGATTCAAGTAGTAACCTAGCCAGGACAGTGAGAAATAGTCCAGCTTTGAAAACATTTAAAAATGATAAAATGCTCCTAAAATGTTGCCTCTAGTACTATTTTATTTGGCTCTTGTCAAAATGTTTCTTCAACCTGCTGTATTTTATTCAAGGCTTATGAGGTCTTCATGAAATCAGGTGCCCCTTTCTATAACTTTTTCTTGGCCTACTTATTACCCGGAAAATAGCTCACTCATTATTCAACAATACGGACTTTGTGTTGATGGTCCCAAGGACAAATTTAAACAAAATAAGATAATTTAATTTTATAGTTATAAATGCAATTAAATGTTTTCGTCAGAATTACTTTTAAATAAAATAAATGAACTAAATTTCTTTAACTGATTTGTTACATATAGGAATTCTTTCATGCTGCCAGAAACAACCAATCTTTGTTTTCTAAACTAAATGAAGAAAAAATAGTTTTTTTCTTACATTTATTAGGAATAGATACAAATGGACATGCTCACCGACCAACATCGAGGTAATTTTAATGCTGTGTTTAATTTTGTGTTTTTAAGGGACCCAACTATTCTGTTTAATGTTTTAAAATATTATAATTTGTTTGTAATTCTCACAGTGCTTATATTCCATATTCTTCAGGCAGGGAAAAACTATATATTTTAGAAATATTTAAGTAAATCTTGGGGGGAAAACATTTATGTGGGATTAATATTGTGATATTAATATATCACAAGAAGATATAATTAGCTATTCCTTACGTGTTCCATTTAATAAGTATTGTGTCTAGCATATAATTGTATCAAGTTTTCTATACCATATTTCAGTAGCACTCCTTATATAGAACAGCAATTATTTTTCTCAGTTTTGTAGACCATAAGAGTAAGAATCCATGTTTTACTTTTATTCTTTATTTAGAATTTGACTTAGATATGTCTAATTGTAACTACAGCCTATTGATTAGTTGCCAGTAATGAATACCTCATGCTCCCCTTCTTGAACATGATGGACTGTTTCAAGTGATAGAGTTCATACCAGACCAACCTTTTCAACTGTATAGAATGCTTAAATATAATTTTTTTAAAATATTATATTATTGTTTTATATCATAAACATTCTACAGGCTGGAAACGTTTTATACTTGAAGCAGTTATACCTATTAATACGACAGGAACAATATAGTTTGCATTATGAGAGACATGAACTTGGAATTCATAATTAATGCATCTGAGATGCAAAAAGCATTCATTAAAATGTACTTGCTAACTAATATAGAAGAGTATTCTCCTTTTAAACTATTTTTGAAAACCATTTCAGATTCTTTTGCTTCTTTAAAAGGAGAGAATATTTTTAAAAAGGAGAGAATATTATTTTTGATAATTTAAAGAATCCTGATTTTAAAATATTAAAGATGAAATCTTAAAGTATTTTAAAAGTTACCAACTTTAGATGTAATTAGTTCACATTGAAGAAATTTGAGTTTTCCAAATTAATGTAATTTAATTTATTTTTCTGTTTCTTTTTAAACAGGGAATATAAGGACAATATTAAAGTAGTTGATGAGGGAATTAAAGAAATTGTATCCATGCTTGAAGATTTTTATGGAAATGATGGGAAAACAGCATTTATCTTTACTTCTGACCATGGAATGACAGATTGGGGTTAGTCTGTCTTTACGCGACATGTACTTTATGATTAAAATAGTGGTGAATGTAGCTTGCAGATATCTTGTAATGTTGAAGCAGGTTAGATGTGTTAGTATATGCAAAGTGTCTAGCACACAACAATTTCCTGCTTAATGTGTTAGTGTAAAAAATCTGATCTTATGTAAAAAATCTATCTTCTAGCTATAAAAGGGATATATTCTCATTTAAAATGAGAAATTAGAGAAAAGCGTGGAGAAGAAAACAAAGTATCTATCCTGTTATTCTTCTTAGAGTTGGTTGTAAGTGATGACAAACAAGGTAAAGTTAAGGTGGTATGACCAGGGACCCTCAGGCTCCTGGAGGTCTCCCCTAGATGAGCTTGTCCTCCCTGTGAGACTCCCAAGGCAAACACAGTGTGTACACAGAGAACAAAAGCAGGCAAAGATGCTTAGTGCACAGTATAGAATTCTAGTGAGCTGGTTCCACTCTCTAAAGGCCTTTTGGCTATATCAACCAAAGTAGCCTTAAAGAACCTTATCAAAGAGATATTCCTGTCCTCTCCAGAACAGAGCTGGAGTTGACTGACTGCTTGCCCTATACAGAGCTACTCTAGTGGCATCTCCTCCAAGTCTTAATGATACTATTCTCGTTCTTCTTTCAGCCAGTCAACAGATACTCTTTTTGTTTTATTTTTGATGCTCTGATATGCTTTGGGAATATTTATAAACTAATTGTTATGCAGTGTTGCAAGCATTTGGGAGGAGTGTGGTGGCCAGAAGTAGAATTACTTACAGATTAACTCTTTAAAATTTACTATTTAAAAAAAAATGTAGGTATAAATTCCTATATACTTGTCTTATTACTCTTATTGTCTTATTGGTAGGTTTCCATGGGGCTGGTCATCCTTCAGAGACTTTAACTCCTTTTGTCACTTGGGGAGCTGGAATCAAGTATCCCCAAAGAGTATCAGCTCAGAAATTTGATGATGCATTTTTAAAAGGTAGAGACATTTATCTTTATTGTTTTTATAAATAGAACAGTTTAAAATAAAACCAAAGTTTACCTTTAAAAAATCATTTTTGAAGTTACAGTTTTCATTTTTATATTTGTATCATTATAATTTTTAAGTATTACTTTTGTATAGTTGATATTATTTGGTTTATAATATTCAGGTTGAAATACGTAGTCTTAGGTGTGCTTGTACAGCTCAGTTGGTTAAGGGTCCCACTCTTGATTTTGGCTCAGGTCATGATCTCAGAGCCATGGGATCAGGCCCTTTGTCAGGTTTCTGCACTGGATTAAGATTCTCTTTCTCCCTCCTCCCCACTCCTCCCTGCTCACACATGTGTGCACACACATGCACTCTGTCTCTCTCAAAAAAAAAAAAAAAGAAGAAGAAGAAATATATGGTCTTAGTTATCTGCCTTATGAAAGGTACAAGTATAAATTATACAATTACTTTTTTTTCCCACAAGCCTTTTTATTGCTGAGATTTACATTAAACTCTTGAGTCAAATCTTATCTGCAAAGACTGTCACTCAGATAAATCAGACAGATGTCACAATTGACATTTCACAAATGGACTGATTTTGCTGTGTCTCTAGTACTTTTGAAGATTCTCTGTTACTCAAGCTTCCCTTCCTTCCTAATCCATGAGGAAAATGAATTCCTTTTTCCTGGAGCTCTGCTTATTTTCTAAGGTAAGGTTTTTTTCAGAGTTCCAAAATTTTTATTAATTTGACAAAAAAAATTCCTTTTAGATCCTTACTCCAGATTAGCTGCATAAAACTCATCCAAAACAACATGTTAAAAATGCAGATTACAAAACAGATTTCCAGACCTTGTTACTAGATACTTTAATTCCATGAGTCTGGATTAGCCCTAGAAATTTTCTTTTTAAAACTTTCTCCAGGGATTCACACTGACAGCCATGTTTAGGCATTTCTATCATAGAGGACTCTTTTTGGTTTGCATAATAAGATTTCCTTAGATGACTTCTTTGAATTTATTTTTATTTCGTGATATAATTGTCATACCATTTTAATTTGAATTCATGTTTTGAAAGTATACAACTCGGGGTTTTAGTATATTCACAAGACTGCAGTCACCCCTACCATCTAATTATAAAACATTTCAATCAGCACCCCAAAGAAACCTGTCACCCATTAGAGAACACACCTTATTTCTCCCTCTCTCTTTCACCTGGCAACCATTACTCTACTTTCTTTCTCTCTCTCTCTTCTGGATCTGCTCATTTCATATAAGTGGAATTACTCATTGTATGGTCTTTGTGTCTGGCTTCTTCCACTTGGCATAATTTTTTTCAAGGTTCATCTGTGTTTAGTATCTATAGTTTATTTTTTATAGCTGAGTAATATTCTATTGTATGTATAGACCATAGTGTTTTTGTATGGACCATATTTTATTTATTCAATCATCTTATGGACATTTGGGTTGTTTCTATTTTTGGCTATTATCATAGTGCTGCTGTGAACATTTGTGTAAGAGTTTTTATGTAGACATGTGTTTGCATTTCTCTTGGATAGATATATACCTAGGGATGAAATAAATGGGTCATATGTAACTCTGTGTTTAATTTTTTGCAGACTGCCACACTGTTTTCTAAAGCAGCTTCAACATTTTATATTCCTATGCTTTGTGGTAAAGGGATTAGATTGGGTCTAATAGAAACTAAGTTAAGTAGTATGTTTGTACTTAGGAGATAAAACTTTATTTTGGCACTTGATTTCTCAGTGAATTAATATTTAGGATAATTTGACTTCAAAAATTATTATAAAAGGAATATACTTTTTTATATGAATAAAACATCATAAGTTATAGAGAAAGGGAATGTGCGTTTTTTTCCTCATCAGGTGATTAGTGTGAATTTATAGTAGCTGACTAGTAGAAACTGAAGATTTTTTTAAACTTTATTAGCTTATTAAAAGAAATTTCATCATAAAACATCTTAGAACCCTTTTGGTAATATATCTTAAAGTCATTAAAATAAGAGATAGTCTCATAATCATTTGTTTTGATAACTGTTTATTGAAGTTTCTGAATTTGTAGAAAAATAGGGGACAGATATATCTGAAGGCAATTTGAAATAGTAATGCATGGTAGCCCCGGTAGTGCCACCTTCCGCCCAGGGTGTGATCCTGAAGACCCGAGATCAAGTCCCATATCAGGCTCCCTGCATGGAGCCTGCTTCTCTCTCTGCCTGTGTCTCTGCCTCTCTCTCTCTCTCTCTCTCTCTCTCTCTCTCTGTCTCTTATGAATAAATAAATAAAATCTTTTAAAAAAATAGTAGCTCATAACTCACTATGGTATTTTAACATTTAAGATTAGTGACAGTAGGAATATCACAGCTACAATTTTAAATATTTTGCAAGCAACTGCCATTAGAGAAGAAAAAAGGTTTAGGTTGTCTAATGGACTATCAATTGCTTTAATTACTCCCTGGAGCAGGACTGTCAGTTGTAGTCATGCCAACAGCTCTTATCATTGTGCCTTTTACTTCCATTTTCCCTTCCTCGGCTTTTTGATGTTTTGAAACAATTATCTGCGAATGAGCATTTTGAAAGTTTAAGAAGTCATCACAGAAAACATCAAATATTAACTTTAAAGCTATTCTTTGAAAATTCTAGTTTTAAAAATATATAGCTCTACCTGTTTAAGTACCCTTTTTATTCATAGTTGACTTAAAATAGACTTTCCCAATACTTTCTTTTGTCATTACACCTTGATCTCTCTTAATAATGAAAGTGTTTTTGTTTTGTTTTTAATCTTAACATCAGCTCTTGTGTCTAATTGTGTTTCAGAATGGAAATTAGAGAACTGGAAGAGACAAGATATCCATCAGGTATTCAGTACAATTTAATCACTTTCAAATTTAATTTTCTCTCCTATAAGAAGTTTAGACCAAAAAAAATCTGAAAAACAGTATTAATAATAATGATGATAAAGGATTTTTCAAAACATTTCAGTTACCTAGGGAAATCCATCTAATGCAAATATTTTAACTCAACTGATCTTCCTTCTAGCAAAATAAAAAAAGCTCAAGTAAAACTGAAAAGACTCCCTCTAAATAACATTGGCTAATTAAAGAATTATTATGTAAATTGAAATCTGCATGCTTGTTCAGTTTCTATGATTTCTTGTCATGGTTGCCTTGCTTAGTTGCTTTAAGCACAGACATAATAAATAATAAAATCCTATTATGAGTTTTTTTCCCTGTAGTATGTGAGTTACCATTTTTTTTTATTAACACATATTTTATCTTTAATTCTACCCAGGATACTTACAAATGCAATGGAAAAAAGATGACAAGAATATAGATTACTCAGCTAGAAACCTTAGGTTACAGGAAAATGCATGGCCAACCTAATCAAGTTAGACTGGTAACATGTATAAATATGAAGCATGGAATTTTCATTTTTGAAGATATGCTATGTAAACAGCCATCTTCACTATTTGTAGAAGGCATGGCATTATTGGATATGGCCTCCAAAGTGGTAGGAATATTTTATCTTCTCTAGGTAACCTCACAAGCTGGCATTCCTTTTTTGGTGAATAAACCAAGGTCTAAAATCTCATTTTTAGGTCTGTGATTGCAGAAGCCTGTTCTCTGTCAGCATATTAAGAATGGTCTTTTCTCTCAGGTTAACTGCATATCACCTAAATGAATGGAAATGTGTAAGATTAGAATAACAGTTTGTTTAATTTTGCAATAAAGATCACTATCAGAGGAATAGGGAATATCTTGAAGATCATAAAACATGTTTTACTTATAGTGAGACTGGATTATAATTTAAAACTAAATATAGATTCAGCTATTGGTCTCTGAATGCTCCTACCTCAAATCTGCTTTAGAGGAGAATTTCTTTATTCATTCCTTCCACCAGCATTGTTATGTGTCTGCAGTGTGTTTAGACCTTGGCAGAGATTAGCATTAAACATGTGTAAGGGATATAATGATGAGTAAAAGCAGATACAATGCCTGCCCTAGGAAGCTTACAGTTTAGGGGTGAGAATAGATATTAACTGAATTATTATATGAATAAATATAACATTACAGCTGTGCTACGTGCTACAAAAGAGGACTGTGAAACCATGAGAGCAGAGTGGACATATCTGGTAGACGGTATGGTCAATAAAGTCTTCCTGAGATGTTGAGGATTGAGCTGAGACTGAAGCATAAGTAGGAGTCACCAGGCACATGATATTCTCCCTCCACTTCAGGCAGAGGGAGCGTCGTGTACCTAGAGCTCTGGGAAGAGAATACATAGCATATTAAAGGATCACAGAGCAACTGAGGCTGTGGTATGAGGTCTGGGTAGGCACTAGACCCCGCAGGGCCTTATGAGCCTATGGACTTAATCCTAAAGCTTGGGGAAGCCCTTTAAGTATTTGAAGCTTGGAGAGTGATATGATCTTTTTGTGAAAGGATTTGTCTGGCGCTGCTTGGAGAACAGATTAGAGGAGGCCAAACAGTGGATTCTAGGGAAAAGGGAGAAGGCAGAGGCAATTGGAGTTTTCCAGTGTTGTGTGGGAATGCTACTTCGTAAAAAGAGTCTAGATAGTAAAAAAGTGAGAAGCATTGAAAGCCTGAGACCAAACTTCAACTTTAAATGGGGAATTAGAATTAGAATGGTATCTGGAAAGGAGCCACAGTGAGATTGAAGACACTCACTGGAGTGCAGTATTACAGAAACTGAGAAGGGAATGGTCTACACAGTGCTGCTGAGAGGCCAACTAGTTAATATAACTACAACAGCATTTTTAGCCACCATTTATTGCAGGATTGTTATGTGCCAGATACTTTATAAATTAATCTCATTTAATTATGCCATAACTCTGTAAGGGAGAGTTTTTTAAATAAATAAATGATAAGGAAACCAAGGCATTGGGGAGGTTAAATAATCTGCCCCTAGTCTCAAGAGATTGCAGGCAAGGATTTGGAACTGGGAATTCTGACATCTAAGCACTTTACTGCCTGAAAAATTGTAAGGACTAATATAAAAACAGCCAACCAGATCTAGAGAAACAGAGAGTGTTAGTTAGCTCTCTAAGGGAGAGTGGTCTATGGGATGATGAAAGGTCAAAAAAGGAAGTGGGGGTGGGTTGAGGAGTGATGGGGAGTTCCAGAAGTGGAGGTAGAAGCACAAACAACTCTGGGAAACTAGGAGCTATATGTCTTTTCTGGATTTCACTGGCTGGCCAAACCTTCTGGTATATACTTTTTCTTTAGTTAATATATATATTTCTCCAGTTAGAGCCTTCTATTGCTATTCATTTTCTGTATAGTTGAGGCATACTGAAAAACTATTACATGAAGTAGTCAAGTTCTTAGGTACCAGAGTGGGTAACTTTTTGTTCTAGCATGTTTTGCATTTGGGGCTTTTCAAATGTATTTTTTTATACATTAATGCCGCTATAGCAAATGACATTTTTAGAGATTGATATCTATTGTGTATTAAATGTTGGAAGGTAATGGATTATAGTGAACATCAAGATTGTAGTCCAAAATATAGTTGCATTAGATTATTTAATTTTCTTACTGATGTCTGTAGACTTATTAGAACTGATTTTTTTCTGTTTGTAGGCCGATATTGCACCATTAATGGCTTCTCTTATTGGAGTTCCCTTTCCCCTTAATTCAGTGGTAAGGAATCAAATTTTCTTAATAGCTCTCAGAAGAAAAAAGTGTACAGTAAAATTTCCTTTTTTATGTCTTTCTGAATAATCTTTGGATACATAAAACTGTACTTTCCTTTCTTTCTAAGTATGTAATATCTCATAACTGTGGGCATGTTACAATCTACAGCATGGAGTACTAGCCTAATAGCTCTTCTTTAAACATTTTTTATTTTCTAAAATGTGTACAGATTTATCTTTGTATTTCAGTTATAAGTGGTAAAAGTATAGAAGTAATTTTTATTTGCAAGCAGCAGAAACTGGATCCATTTAAAGGGAATTTGTTAAAAAGATCTTGCTGGGTTGTTGAATCAAAGGGGCGCTCAAAAACCAGGCATGGAAATGAGCAGGGACAAAGAACACCGGAGACTTCAAAAGAAGAACCAAACAGTTGTGCCCAGGGTACCAACACTAGGGGCGAATAGCATTACACTTACACTTTTTGTGACTTGACTCTCAAGAGTCAAATTCCAGTGCTTACCATCTGAGTGGCCTAGCCTGGGTTACTTGTCTACCCTTCAGTAAAGGAAGGTGGGGCTCCATTGGAAACCCACTATGTTAGATCCAGTGGGGGAGATTTTCCTTTTTTTTTTTCCCCAAGATTTTATTTAAATTCAAGCTAGTTAATATATAGTATATTATTAGTTTCAAGAGTAGAATTTAGTGATGATTCATCATTTACATTCAACACCTAGTGCTCACTGCAACAAGTGCCCTCCTTAATGCCCATCACCCATTTCACCCATCCCCTCGCACCCCCATCCACTGCCCCTTCAGTAACCCTAGTTTGTTTTCTATAGTTAGGAGTCTCTTATGGTTTGCCTCCCTCTCTGTTTTTATCTTATCTTTTTCTTCCCTTCCCCTATGTCCATCTGTTTTGTTTCTTAAATTCTGCAGTGAGTGAGATTTCTAAACATAGAATGGTAATGCTTTTAAGAATGGGAACTGGAATGCTGAAAAGCCAAAATATATATATATATATATATATATCCATTCCAACCAGCCATTCTTATTAGGTCTTCAAATCAAACTTTTAATAAATGTTGTCTAACTCAGAACTCTGAGTAAATGACCCTTATAGTCATGTGTGTATGTGTAAAACTGAAACAAAAATTTCACAAAACACTCCTTACTCTTACTGTGCATGGTATACTCTTAATTTTCTTATCCTTTTTTTTTTTCTTTTTAAGTATACTGGTTGTGGCCTACCATAGTGATTTTTCATGTGTGCAAAGCATTGTGTTCACTGCCTACAACACGGTAGTCTTTCAATAGATACTAGGTTTTATCGAATCTATTTCATCTTTTTTGCTTTATTTACTTTATTATGTCTACCTTATGAGAAAAAATAATAGAACATTTTTCAGTTATGGTTTTAGAAAAGATGTTTTGCTTAATTATTTCAGTAATTTATTCATCTACCTGTCTTATCTTTAGTGCTTCCTTTATAAGTCTGTTTCATTTTACAAGAATAACCTGAGCTATTAATACTAGTAATAGTATGCTAATAGTATTTATATTAAACTAGTGTTTATTATTTACAGGGTATCCTTCCTGTAGATTATCTTAACAACACTGATCTCTTCAAAGCAGAGAGCATGTTTACAAATGCAGTACAGATTCTTGAACAATTCAAGGTAAAATAAGACACAAAAATGGATACTACTGCAACTGCAAAATCAAATATATTAAGTGAAAATATTTGATTTTGTGTTTTATGAAAATTATTTTCTATAGTTTATCTTTAAATTTTGTGTATATGACTGGCGTCATAAAGTTTAACATTTGTGAGGTATATGTTCCATGAATCGGTCTGTGGTATAGAATTACTTTTGAGAAGTGTCTCTAATTGTAGGACTACCACATATGCTTATAAAGACTACACACCAACTCTTACTGATTGGAATTTGCCCCACAGAGGTAGTGTTAGAGATTGCAACATTTCTTGTTATTTAATGTATATTACCATATGTATTAAGCTAAATTAAAGATGTGGCCATTTAACTGAAACTTTGTTATTCTTAATGCTGTTAATGCAGCCTGACTTATTTTGTTTTCTAAGAGTAAAAATACAGTTTAATTACAGTATGTTATTTTCAAGCTTGATATTAATTTTCAGCTTACTGTGGTAGTATGATCTGAAATTTCTGTTTAAATATTTATAGAATAATATAGTAACATAAAATTCCATTTAGTTTCAAAGTAGTAAACTATCCCCAAAGAGACAGTTTAGTGGATGTTTGTATTTCAAAATGAAACTAATTTTTTTCTCATTTATAATATAATAAAATATTTTCATATTTGGTTCCCAGGTGAAAATGACTCAGAAAAAAGAAGCTACTTTACCCTTTTTTTTTACACCATTTAAGTAAGTCTCATATTTTTTATTAACTTATAGGAAGGAATCTTTTAATGAGTTTGAGTACTGACAGGATAGTTACTTAGAACTTTGTCCTTTTTGTTTATATTAGTGCAAACTCTAAAACAAAAGCCTCTTCTGGTGTTTTTGTAAATAATGGGCCAGGCACCAGATTCTACCTTTGAATAGCTGATAAAGGAGATAAAGGACAGAGAGAAATGTGGGAGACATTAAAGAGACAATTGAACAGGGCCTGTTTGGGAACATGTGGGGACCCTTGGCTTGGTTGATTGGGAGGTGGTGTTACCATTATGGCTTGTAGAAGGAAAGAAGAAATGATTTGAGGAGCAAGGATCAATGTTTCTGAGTTCAGCTTACATTTGAAGATACCAATTAATTAGAATTATTTAGAAATTAGAAATAAAATTAGTGTAACAAGTTAGGGACTTAGACCTCAACATAAAGATGAGAGTGGATTGTGTAGATTGGAGGCATCAATATAAGATAAGATGGTAGTGTTAACTGTTGCACATGTAGGAGGCGGTAGGAGAACCTAAAAAGTGACAAGAAAAGACTGATGGTGCAATTCTGGAGGACAGTGACAACTACTGGGTGGATAAGGAGAGCAGACTTTGGTGGGCAGCTGGATTTTGCTGTCTTATCTGTTTTCCTTGAATCAGGAGAGAGGAGATATGAGTCACAAACCTGGATCTGCACTCCTAATGTGGGCAGATATATTCAGTCTCCTTTATTCCTCCTCATCAAGGTTCATTTTCAATTAGCAAGGATCACATTTGATTAGGATGGATTTTGATCTTGACCAAAATACATAGAAACTTTATAATATGGGTGTTAGTAATGGGTTTGAATGATTTCATTGGAATTATTTTTGACAACTTATATAGCACTAGTATGGTATTCATAAACTAGAAAGGCTTAAATATTACATTACCCTCTAAATAATGTGATTACATGCCTGACTTTGTGTGTGTGTATATTTGTGTGAATAGGAGAGCAAAAACCAACCAAAATTAGGATTTTGCAGCTTATGATCATATGAAGTTAATTGCCCTAAATATTACACAATATACATCCAAGGTGTAATTACCTTTGAAGATTGTCCCTAATTGTAAGATTATCACATATGCTTATAAAGAGTATAAGCCAAGTTTTTACTGATTGGAATTTGCCCCACATTATCTCATATACATATCTTATGCATCTGTTTATTTACAGTGTAGTGGTGCAGTCAGAGCATAATAGAATAAATAAATGAACAAGAAATATATTATCAATTCCTGGTATGAAGAAAATACACAGGACATTGAAAGTGAGACTGTGGGTTACTTTAGACCAGCCACTCTAGAAGGACTGGTCAGGAAGAGGTAGTCTTCTGCAAAGGGCTCAGGTGCACACTGCCTACCTTCTTCCACTTAGACCTGCTGACTGACCATGAATTTACTGGGCTTTGATGCTCAACATCTGCCTGCAGCGCCACTACTAGCTTTGTGTCATCTGGAGGCCCTGCAGCATTCTTGATTCCTAGCTGGTGGCTCACCCACTCTGGAGCAAAGCTATCAGCCCTGCCTACAGACTTGTCTGGCTGAAAATCACCATTGGTCAAAAGTCTGCAATCTGACCAAAAGGTACCTAAGATTAAATGAATGATAGACTCCTGAGGAGATAATTTAAGGAACAGAAAAGAACTTTAAAATGTTAAAATTTCTCAGAAATATCTGAAAAGCTATTGTATCCTTAGCACACACTTTATAAAATGAGAAAGAGTACAAGATGCATATTTTTAAAAAGAGAAATGCAACTAAAAACTTACAGAATGATACATTGTATAAGAATAGTCCAACTGGGAGGCAAACCCTCTAAATTAGAATAGCAATGTGAAATGAGTTTTAATATATGAATTGAATAAGAAACTGAAGGAAACAAGATGGCATACATGGATCGCATACATTTCTTCATCCCCTGAAACAAGGATAAGTGGAGACTTTAGGGAAAAGAAGGCATTTCCAACTGTGCAAGAAAGTGTGCTTCAAACATGAAGCAGCCTAATGTGTAAGGTGATTTCGAACAGCTGCTGGGAGTATGAGAAGAGAATTTGTGGCACATAGATCAAAGCTTCAATGAAATAGACAAGAAAATCTAATCATAGCATAAAATTTAGCTACTCAGTGAGTAGTAAGTAACCATAATACAGTAAGAGACAAACCTTAGACAAAGCAAGACTTAAGTATCATTATTGGATAGAATGCAAATGTTGCCTACCTTGACAGTGTACAAGGTTACAAGTTGGAAGGCAGAGGAGGAAAGAAAGTGGTGCTGTTGTCCTCATGAAATAGAAAGTGGAGATTCTGGATATAGCTGAGAAAGTGAGACAGAGGTTTAGGTATTACATTATTAAAGTAACCAATGTTGGGGTGCCTCGATGGCTTAATCAGTAAAGCATGCAACTTTTTTTTTTTTAAGATTTTTTTTTTTATTTATTCATGAGAGACACAGAGAGAGAGAGAGGCAGAGACACAGGCAGAGGGAGAAGCAGGCTCCTTGCAAGGAGTCCAACGTGGGACTCGATCCCCAGTCTTAAGGATCACACCCTGGGCTGAAGACGGCGCTAAACCGCTGAGCCACCCGGGTTGCCCAAGCATGTGACTTTTAATGTTGGGATCCACATTGGGAGTAGAGCGAGCTTAAAAATAAAGTGACTATGGGCATCTGGATGGCTCAGGTCATGGTCTTAGGGTCCTGGGATCGAGCCCCTCATTGGACTCCCTGTTCAGCATGGATCCTGCTTCTCCCTGTGCCTGCCACTCTTCCTGCTTGTGTTCTCCCTCTTTCTATCAAATAAATAAATAAAATCTTTTTAAAAAATAAAGTGACCAATATAGCCAACAGAAGAGGTAAAAATAGTAATATAAGCATATTGAGGGAGGAGGAGACAGCAAGAATAGACAGAGTCAGTGAAGAGTCCACAGAAAATGCCTCAGGTCATCCAGTCAAGAAATAGTAATAGAAGCATATTATTAAGAAACATGGAGGTAGCTACCAGAATACCTGAAAATAGACACATGTAAAAAATTTTGCGTCTGGGTTGGAGAACTGAGGTGAGAAGGGTGGGGCAGGAGTTGTTGGTTGTCATTATGCCCTCTGTACTTTCTGACTTTTTAAAAATTATGCACATATTACTTTGATAAAGCACATTATTTTTAAAAAGAACAAAAATAAATTGACATCTTAATCATTGGCACAAATGATCAAATGGAATCATAAAAATAATGGGCATAAAGAAATATAAATGTTAGAGTCAATGTCTTGGGTTACATGAAAGTCTGTGGTTATTATATTTAGGAAGTAGTTTGGTGAGGATTGACATTTTTACAATGTAGAGTATTACTTTCCAACATTTACTTACTTATGTCCTTAAGTAAAATTTTATAGTGTTCCCCATAATATATTTTTTCATTATTTTATTCCTGGATATTTTATTTGTATCATGAGTAGTATCTTTTTTTATTACTACATATGTTCAATATACCAGGGAAAACAGTTATTGCCCTTTACCATTGGCGTACAAGGGACTGTTTTTCTCTAGTCCGATGAATTTACTTGTATTTACACCATCCGTTTTCTTCTAGTCCCCTTTATGTATACACCTAATGTCAGCATTATCCACTTAGAAACTTATCAAGTAAATGTTAGCACATAATAATGAAAGAGTACAGTTATTACAGATCCTTTTTGCAAAACACTTAAGTACTTGTTACAAACGATTGGTTCCCTGAAGCCTTTCCCTCTTGAATAAGTACCATATTTCCTTTTTTTCTTAGAAATATATGATTCACTCATCAGTTCTTAAGTTTGAGAAAATTTATCTAGGATATTGACATCTGAGGTTTCATAGTCTTGAGATTTTCCTTAACATGATCAATTTCACCAGCATCGCAAGATTTTAATTTAATGTTATCTCTCCACCATTTCTTCCACTGTCTGAGTCTTGTCTTCATGAATAATTCATGACTAGTGTAATAATTCCTAGGGTGCTGAAATAGCCAGTGTTTCAAGATGTGAGAATATAATTGCTAAGATCCTTTAACATACCTTACACTTGTAAAAGACTCCAGTGAATCCGTATGGTAATTGCATATCCTATATTATCCTGTTCTTTAAAAATTAAGTATATTTTACCTTTTATATCTTAAAGATTTCTAAGAAAGGCTAAAAGTCATGAAATAATAATCTATTCAGACAAGTAGAACTCCACAAACTCAAACCTTGTGCTATGCCAAGGAATGACCAGCAGGTGGTGCTACATGACTAGGAGAAGCATAAAAGTACCTTAAAAGGAGTATTGAAATACACTTTGTATTTCAAAACTGTGTACCAGAGGCCAGAGTAAGGCCAGAATAACTTTAAAGGAAAAAAGTTACATAAAATGAGAAAAGAACAAGAAAGGCTTCTTGAGTATATCTGAAGAAAATGAAAATGGGAAGGAAATACTGTACCTTGCCAATAGAAGAAAAATAGCTGTTCTTTTACTTAAAAATCACTATATAAACTCAGAGCAGTTAAAGTTTAACCAGGTATTTTAACATATTTTCTACCAAAATGACAAAAGCTACTTTCATTTTTTTTAATATATTTGTTTCTTTTAGCTGATATGGATTAAAGTCCTTAGACCAAATTTAAATACTAATTTTAATGTGAATCTACCACTTCACCCATCTGGCTTACTAATTATTTACTAGAAATGGAATTTTCTCCTTCAAAATTGAAATTCTTCTTTTTTAAAAAAAGTAACTTTTATATGTCACATACATAAAAAATGTTTATTTACTCAGTTATGACTTAAAAGATGAAAATAAGGGACGCCTGGGTGGCTCAATGGTTGAGCGTCTGCCTTTGGTTCAGGGCATGATCCTGGAGTCTTAGGATCAAGTCCCACATCGAGTTCCCCACAGGGAGCCTGCTTCTCCCTCTGCCTATGTCTCTGCCCCCCCCCTCTGTGTGTGTGTCTCATGAATAAATAAATAAAATCTTAAAAACAAAAGATAAAAATAAGATTCTATATCGATGATCAGTGCAAAGGAACTCGGGTTATTTTGGAGGTAGCTTATCCCTCCTCTGTCTTTATCTCTTGAAATATTTTTCCTTTAATCTATAAATAGATGTTCTCTAAAATATCATGTGTAAGTGCAAGGAAAATATTTTTGTAATAAAAAGCTGAGAAGATGTAGAAGATAGAATACTTCAAAGGGCAGCATTTTAAGGAGATTTTGTCCTGCAAACACTAGTCACCCTGAATAATTGATAAAATATATTTACAAATATATTAACCACAATTATTTTAAAGTGTACCTGATAACACCACCAATAACCATATCATTTGTGAGTGTGCTTCTACTGTCTTTTTCATTTGGTCCTGTTATTGAGTCTGGTGGTTTTTAGATGAATGCCTATCATTGTATATTAAAGGTATTGGAAGCTCTGGATTATCTCATTCTCCAAAGAGGTTTCACCTTATCCTCTGACAGGCACAGAGTAGTAACTAACTCAAGGCTGTGTTGCATTTGTTGTCTTCCCTTACCTCTGGTTTGTTTGTGTCTGTCTGCCCTTAGAATGTAGCCTCCCAGGCATTTCAGTGGAAGCTGTGTGTTGTCCAGAGCCCTTCCTTGGTGGCTTCTGAACACCAGATTTTGTCTCTTCTATATCTTGAAACTGCGAAAACTTCTGTCCTTTTCAGGTGCTTTCTTCATAGCTTCTTGTCCTCTTGTCCCTATGCAGTTGAAGAATTCACTAGGTGTCCAGCTCGTTCCCCTTCTCACCAGATCGTGGCCTTTGTTTCTTTACCTGAATTGTCCACATAGAATAGAATAGAAGTTGTTGCTTATAAAGATTCCTTCTCTCATTCTTGAGATGTCACTTCAGGTTAAGTATTAAGTTAATGTAATTTCAGATAGCTTTTCATTCATGCCTTTTTAAAATTTCTTTTATTTAAAAAAAATTTTTTTAAAGATTTTATTTATTCATTCATGAGAGACACAGAGAGAGATGCAAAGACATGGGCAGAGGGAGAAGCAGGCTCCCTGTGGGGAGCCTGACAGAGGACTTGATTCCCGGACCTCGGGATCATGACCTGAGCCAAAGACAGACACTCAACCACTAAGCCACCCAGGTGCCCTCTTTTTCTTTTTTTAATCCAGAATGAAGATTGTATATATTATCCTCTTATTTGTCTTTCTTTGTGGGTCTTCATATCCTGGCTGCATTGGCAGCCACAAATGTTATTTTTTTTTTTTATCTCTGTTGCCTTATAAGATTGCCAGAGACTCTATTGGATTCTCTACCTCCTGGCAGCAGCTATGTGCCCAAGTTCTCAGCCTTTTGCCAAAAATAAGAATGGCAGATGCCCTAATTGTTACAGTTTGTAGAATGCTGGACTAATTCTCTGGTTTGCTTCTCTTTAGGATCTTAACTCTTTAATTCTTGATGGTCTACGAAGCTCTCTAGCACCTTCAAATTGATTTTTAATATTAATCAGGCTTTCTAGTTGTTCCTTTTTTTTTTTTTTCCTAGTTGTTCTTGGTGGGAGCATTGATATGTCCAAACTTTCCATCATAACCAGAAACTGTGGTTAAACTTTAATGTTTTAATTATTTTATTTAAAAAAAAAAACCTCATTATTAAAATGTGAATGAGAAAGTAATGAACATATACAATAAAAACTACACAAGCAATAATAAAATGTGACCTCTCCTGAGTTCTAGTCTCACAGTCTTTTCTCTTGGAGGCAAAGTTGCAGGTTCTCATACATCTTTCATATATATATATCCCTCTTCAAACATGCTGAAAAGAGTAGAGAATATAGCAAAAATCCTTATACCCACATCCAGGTTTAAGAAATGTTAACATCTTGCCATATTTCTTGAGATCTCTTTTTCTTAAGAAATAAAATCATCTAATGTAATTGAAACCCTATTTTTAAAATCTACCACATTTTTTTATAAATCTCTTTTTTTCCATTCACCATGATTTTCAGAATTTATCCATGTTGACACATGTAGATCATCTTTATTTATTTTAATTTATAGATAATATTCCTTTGGTTACTTCTCTACCACAACCCCCCTTGTTTTGTTGTTGTTTTATGTAAATGTTAACATATTGTACCTCATATTCTGGACTTTACATTTCTCATAAAACTTCTTTATGTTTAAAATAGGTGACACTAAGATTGACTTTGCATCCCTTCTCAACTTACAGAAAGCTAAAAAAAATTTTACTGGGGAACAAGTTTGTAAGAGTCTTTAATGTCCTAATGGTACAATGAGATTTGTATGGAACATTTTGGTGAACTCCAAACATATTCGAAACCTTTAGTATGTCCCAAGAATTATAAATAGAACTTTTAGGAAAAATGTAAATTAGCCTGACAGTGGTTTTTTTTTTACCTAATTCTTTACCTAAGTATTCCATATATAATGTAATAATTTCACATATGATATAATGAAATATAATTAACATAATATAACAAATATTTCTCTTTAAAAATACTTCTTTCATCCTTCTTAAAGTATTATATTAGCCTAAGTAATTTTGTTCCAAACAAGCTTTGTTTTCATCTTTTCATTTAAGTTAGCAAATGATTAGGTACTTTAAGAATGGGAATTTATATTATTCTCTTATTTTTTCCCCTTTTTTAGATCTACAATATTTTGATAGCATTTTAATCAATTAAGATTTATTGATTCATTTTATATGCTTGGTACTTTGCTGAGTATTATTATGACTTTTTATTGAAATAATGGCCTAGTTGAAGATTAAAATTTAATTGAAGAGAAATAAATTGTTATTAGATGACACTAAAGTGCCAGTGATGTGAGGTGGAATTTGGAGAGGACTATAAAGGATGATGAGGATTTGATTTTGGAAAGCAGAGAGGGAAAGATCTTTATGAAAAGAACTCAGATGTGAATACGAGATAGGTGAAGAATGAAGTGTGTAACCATTTTATAGCTCAGGGTATACATATGAGATAATGGGAAATTAAGTAAAATAGAAAGAAATACAGTCATCAGTAGTCCAGGAGATTAGGGATCCCTGGGTGGCTTAGCGGTTTGGCGCTTGCCATCAGCCCAGGGTATGAGCCTGCAGACCCAGGATCGCGTCCCACGTTGGGCTCCCTGCATGGAGCCTGCTTCTCCCTCTGCCTGTGTCTCTGCTTCTCTTTCTCTCTCTCTCATGAATAAATAAAATTTTTTTTAAAAAATCTGGAAAATTCAACTTCGATATAATCTTCATGTAACTCCAGTGCCCTTTGGCTCGTATTCCAGTTCTCAGACTTACAGGAAAATACTCTAAAATATGTGGTATCTGAAGGACAAAGAACTGGATTATGGCAACACTTTGAAGTAACTTGTTTTTTTTTTTCCCCCGTGTGTTCTCACTTCCTGTTATCTTTTTCCTCCAAATCTCAGTGAGTCCAGAGGTGGAGACTTTTCCTGCAGCCTGAAAGAGTGATTGGATTCCTTTGAGTTGAAAGATCTGGGGGTCCCTGGAATAGCACAGGTTCCCAAACAAGAACATTTACAGATCTCCAGAGGGCTCAGAGATGAGCTTCTGGGTTTCATTAATTTTCTGAAGTTGTATGTAAGATTAAATGCATTTTCTAGACAGAGTATCGTATTCAGAAAGGAGTCTGTGACCTCATCCAAATTAATAACATTGCTTAAAAGATTGTACTTCCTACAAGTCTTCATCTTATCTAAAGATTAATGGAACCAAGTAGAAAAAGAAAATGATTATATCATGTTGAACCATGTGAAATTGTCAATATTTAACTTAGTAGTTTTTGACATACAAAAATACTTATTTCATATGATCTAACCCTATCAAAGCCTTTTTATACTTTTTAAGTTTGAAGGTATTCACTTTATAAGTTTAGTTAAGCAGTATGCATTTAATTTTGTGTTTGAATATACTTACTTATTTCAATCAGGTTACTGAGGTGTGGTTATATTTCCTCAACTTTGACATTCCAGAAACTTAATGCCTTCAGATACATTGCCAGTTTATGTAATATTAGGAGTATTTCTCTTGTGTATTTAAGGTTTCTACTCTGGTAAAAAGAGGACAGGGAAGTGACAGAAAGAGAAATGAAAGATAAGGGAACCAGAAAAGGTATATGGTATAGTATAAGAATATCAAAGAGGCTCAAATTATTCACTAATTTTGTTGGTTTTGATTGCCTGGAGTTTGGGTTTGTTTGTTTGTTTTTTTAAAGATTTTATTTATTTATTAGAGATTGAGAGAGAGCACAAGTCGGGGAAGGGGCACAGGCAGAGGAAGAAGCAGACTGCCCACTGAGCAGGGAGCCCAACTCTGGGCTCAATCCTAGGACCCCAGGATCACAACCTGAGCCAAAGGCAGATGCTTAACTGACTGAGCCACCCAGGCTCCACATTGCGTAGAGTTTTTTGATCATGGCAATTCTCAGGCCCTATCTAGCTCAGAGATACAAAGAGCCATAATGGATCTGCTTTGTCTGTTGTGTCTGCTGATGAGCACAGGAGTGCTAAGCGGTTGAAACTCATGCCACTAATTTGCTGTTCCATTAATTATATTGATTTAGTCAGAATTTCTTTGTTAACTAGAGTATTCCATTTCTTCAAAATGATGGATCATGTTACTCTTGTAAGTGTAGTTTGGAGCTGAAACTTTGAGTCAAGAAAACCAAATTTAATCAAAGCTATTTTTTTGGGAGAGTTCAGATAATCTGCAATAATACAATTAGCTTTAGGTTTCTTTTTTGTTTTGTTTTGTCTCATTTCTTTATTTTTTCAACTTTTATTATCCTTTTATTTTCAATTAAGAAAAAAGAAATAAAAATATCATTGAAATGAGGAAATATTTTAAACCTAACCTTTTCTTTTGTAGGTTGCTTTCTGAATCTAAACAGCTAAACATTTTACGAAAAGCCAGGTCTTATATAAAACAGAGAAAGTACGATGAAGCAGTAAGTATGCAAACCTTATTTGTATAAATAGCTAGTCATCATTTAGGTTATGGGGAAAGGCAAGATATACACAATGGAGAGCAAAGTGGGCAGGCCAGGGAGCTTTCCTGAACGCTTAAGGAAGGATTGGATTTTCTAAGTAGCTGTTTTAGCCATGAACATGCTTCTCTTATTGCAGATATTATTATGAGTAAACTTTTTTTTAGGTTTGGAAAAGAACAGTTGCCATTTTCTATAATGAGCAAGTCTATTCCAAATTTATGTAACCCTACTTAAGTGTGTAACATTTTAGAACATAGCATTTGTACATTTGGAACTATCTACACAGTATCAGAAGTGTAATGATTCATAATGAAGCTTTGAATCTTCTCAGCAACTATCCCACTATGCCTTCCATTAATTTTCTTTTTGTTAAGTGGTCCTAATTTTGGAGAAGGAAAGAATTCTATTTTCAGTTTCTCAAATTGCCTAAGCAAAATACCATGCATTTCTAATGCTTATTTTTTGTTATAGTTTTAAAACAGTAAGCTATTGCTTTTCTGTTTTAATGATGCTTTATAACTGATGTGGGTAATCTGGTATGAGAAAATTAAAAATGATACAAATGTGGGTATCTCTGCTATTTCAGATCAATATTAGTGAGACTTCAGTTCTTTCTTTCATAGGTCCTCTATTGATATATCCACGGAATGAATCATTTTCAATCACTACACATATTGTAGTTTACATTTAAAATGTCCTTCCTCATCAAGATTCAAAATTCATTCTATTCAGGAATTTTCCCTATACTTTGCAAGAAGACCCTTGAGTAATTAAAATCTGTTCTTGATTTATCATTTATAGTTATGCACTCTAATTTTAATAATTTTCCTGCCTTTAAAACTTAGGTTTTCTGATTCTTCCCATGTGACAAGTTACGTTTTCCTTTCTCCATAGGTCTCCCTTTGCAAGGAGCTGATTCAGCTTGCATTAAAAGGCTTGTCCTATTATCATACTTATGACAGGTTCTTCTTGGGCATCAATGTTGTTCTTGGTTTTGTGGGATGGACATCTTATGCTTCTTTGTTGATCATCAGGTCTCATTCCAGCTTTACTAGAGGTGTCAGTAAAGAAGTTAAGGTACGTTCAGAAAATATAATGAAGATTCAGATAGTGGTGTAAAATCATTAGGACTCACGAAAGAAATTGAATCAAATCAACTGTAATGAGTTTGTACAATGTGCAAGTTGTAATAAGCTAACTCTTACCTTTCATTTGCTTTTGTTATGTCAGGTCTTTTTTTCCTCAGTTATCTTTATTTCTTTGGTTGGGGAAAGGGTATATTAATAATGATGGCCCTATAACGTAAGAGGGCTATAAAGATAGCTGTATAATCTAAATTCTCCTATGGCATTAACTATTGATTTTCTATTCTTTTTAATAATTATTTAGCATGTTATAAGCATCCCATATCTTTCTAGTACAGGTGGTCAGAAAACTACTTCAAAGCAATATATTTAACTGTATCTGGTATTAAAAGTTTAGGAGCTAGGAAGCGATAAAATCACTCAAAAATGTCCCTTTCTGAATAATGTATGTGCTTTTCTGGAACTCTTCTTACCTTCTTTCAACTTTCTGAAATTCTTAATGCAAATTCTCAGAACTTTATATTTATCCTCATTTTAAGAATTAGTCTTCTAGAGGGAGGAGGGGCAAGATGGCGGAAGAGTAGGGTCCCCAAATCACCTGTCCCCAACAAATTACCTAGATAACCTTCAAACCATCCTGAAAATCTACGAATTCGGCCTGAGATTTAAAGAGAGACCAGCTGGAATGCTACAGTGAGAGGAGTTCACGCTTCTATCAAGGTCTTCTAAACACAACATCTCCAAAGAAACGAGAGCTTTAAATGATACACTGGACCAGATAGATTTCACAGATATCTACAGAACTTTACATCCAAACTCAACTGAATACACATTCTTCTCAAGTGCACATGGAACTTTTTCCAGAATAGACCACATACTGGGTCACAAATCGGGTCTGAACCGATACCAAAAGATTGGGATCGTCCCCTGCATATTCTCAGACCATAACGCCTTGAAATTAGAACTCAATCACAAGAAGAAGTTTGGAAGGACCTCAAACACGTGGAGGTTAAGGACCATCCTGCTAAAAGATAAAAGGGTCAACCAGGAAATTAAGGAAGAATTAAAAAGATTCATGGAAACTAATGAGAATGAAGATACAACTGTTCAAAATCTTTGGGATGCAGCAAAAGCAGTCCTGAGGGGGAAATACATCGCAATACAAGCATCCATTCAAAAACTGGAAAGAACTCAAATACAAAAGCTAACCTTACACATAAAGGAGCTAGAGAAGAAGCAGCAAATCGACCCGACGCCCAGCAGAAGAAGAGAGTTAATTAAAATTCGAGCAGAACTCAACGAAATTGAGACCAGAAGAACTGTGGAACAGATCAATAGAACCAGGAGTTGGTTCTTTAAAAGAATTAATAAGATAGATAAACCATTAGCCAACCTTATTAAAAACAAGAGAGAGAAGACTCAAATTAATAAAATCATGAATGAGACAGGAGAGATCACTACCAACACCAAGGAAATACAAACGATTTTAAAAACATATTATGAACAGCTCTACGCCAATAAATTAGGCAATCTAGAAGAAATGGACGCATTCCTGGAAAGCCACAAACTACCAAAACTGGAGCAGGAAGAAATAGAAAACCTGAACAGGCCAATAACCAGGGAGGAAATTGAAGCAGTCATCAAAAACCTCCCAAGACACAAGAGTCCAGGGCCAGATGGCTTCCCAGGGGAATTCTATCAAACGTTTAAAGAAGAAATCATACCTATTCTACTAAAGCTGTTTGGAAAGATAGAAAGAGATGGAGTACTTCCAAACTCATTCTATGAGGCCAGCATCACCTTAATTCCAAAACCAGACAAAGACCCCACCAAAAAGGCGAATTACAGACCAATATCCCTGATGAACATGGATGCAAAAATTCTCAACAAGATACTAGCCAATAGGATCCAACAACACATTAAGAAAATTATTCACCATGACCAAGTAGGATTTATCCCCGGGATGCAAGGCTGGTTCAACACTCGTAAAACAATCAATGTGATTAATCATATCAGCAAGAGAAAAACCAAGAACCATATGATCCTCTCATTAGATGCAGAGAAAGCATTTGACAAAATACAGCATCCATTCCTGATCAAAACTCTTCAGAGTGTAGGGATAGAGGGAACTTTCCTCGATATCTTAAAAGCCATCTACGAAAAGCCCACAGCAAATATCATTCTCAATGGGGAAGCACTGGGAGCCTTTCCCCTAAGATCAGGAACCAGACAGGGATGTCCACTCTCACCACTGCTATTCAACATAGTATTGGAAGTCCTAGCCTCAGCAATCAGACAACAAAAAGACATTAAAGGCATTCAAATTGGCAAAGAAGAAGTCAAACTCTCCCTCTTCGCCGATGACATGATACTCTACATAGAAAACCCAAAAGCCTCCACCCCAAGATTGCTAGAACTCATACAGCAATTTGGTAGCGTGGCAGGATACAAAATCAATGCCCAGAAATCAATGGCATTCCTATACACTAACAATGAGACTGAAGAAAGAGAAATTAAGGAGTCAATCCCATTTACAATTGCACCCAAAAGCATAAGATACCTAGGAATAAACCTAACCAAAGAGGTAAAGGATCTATACCCTAAAAACTATAGAACACTTCTGAAAGAAATTGAGGAAGACACAAAGAGATGGAAAAATATTCCATGCTCATGGATTGGCAGAATTAATATTGTGAAAATGTCAATGCTACCCAGGGCAATTTACACGTTCAATGCAATCCCTATCAAAATACCATGGACTTTCTTCAGAGACTTAGAACAAATTATTTTAAGATTTGTGTGGAATCAGAAAAGACCCCGAATAGCCAGGGGAATTTTAAAAAAGAAAACCATAGCTGGGGGCATCACAATGCCAGATTTCAGGTTGTACTACAAAGCTGTGGTCATCAAGACAGTGTGGTACTGGCACAAAAACAGACACATAGACCAATGGAACAGAATAGAGAATACAGAAATGGACCCTGAACTTTATGGTCAACTAATATTCGACAAAGGAGGAAAGACGATCCACTGGAAGAAAGACAGTCTCTTCAATAAATGGTGCTGGGAAAATTGGTCATCCACATGCAGAAGAATGAAACTAGACCACTCTCTTGCACCATACACAAAGATAAACTCAAAATGGATGAAAGATTTAAATGTGAGACAAGACTCCATCAAAATCCTAGAGGAGAACACAGGCAACACCCTTTTTGAACTTGGCCACAGTAACTTCTTGCAAGATACATCCACGAAAACAAAAGAAACAAAAGCAAAAATGAACTATTGGGACTTCATCAAGATAAGAAGCTTTTGCACAGCAAAGGATACAGTCAACAAAACTCAAAGACAACCTACAGAATGGGAGAAGATATTTGCAAATAACATATCAGATAAAGGGCTAGTTTCCAAAATCTATAAAGAACTTATTAAACTCAACACCAAAGAAACAAACAATCCAATCATGAAATGGGCAAAAGACATGAAGAGAAATCTCACAGAGGAAGACATAGACATGGCCAACATGCACATGAGAAAATGCTCTGCATCACTTGCCATCAGGGAAATACAAATCAAAACCACAATGAGATACCACCTCACACCAGTGAGAATGGGGAAAATTAACAAGGCAGGAAACAACAAATGTTGGAGAGGATGCGGAGAAAAGGGAACCCTCTTACACTGTTAGTGGGAATGTGAACTGGTGCAGCCACTCTGGAAAACTGTGTGGAGGTTCCTCAAAGAATTAAAAATAGACCTGCCCTACGACCCAGCAATTGCACTGTTAGGGATTTACCCCGAAGATTCAGATGCAATGAAACGCCGGGGCACCTGCACCCCGATGTTTCTAGCAGCCATGTCCACAATAGCCAAACTGTGGAAGGAGCCTCGGTGCCCATCGAAAGATGAATGGATAAAGAAGATGTGGTTTATGTATACAATGGAATATTACTCAGCCATTAGAAACAACAAATACCCACCATTTGCTTCAACGTGGATGGAACTGGAGGGTATTATGCTGAGTGAAGTAAGTCAATCGGAGAAGGACAAACAGTGTATGTTCTCACTCATTTGGGGAATATGAATAATAGTGAAGGGGAATATAAGGGAAGGGAGAAGAAATGTGTGGGAGATATCAGAAAGGGACACAGAACATAAAGACTTCTAACTCTGGGAAATGAACTAGGGGTGGTGGAAGGGGAGGAGGGCGGGGGGTAGGGGTGAATGGGTGACGGGCACGGAGGGGGACACTTGACGGGATGAGCACTGGGTGTTATTCTGTATGTTGGTAAATTGAACACCAATAAAAATTAATTTATAAAATAAAAAAAAAATATTTAGATGTAAAATTAAGTTTGATTTTACCTAAATCCTCTGTCCAAATAGTGTTGTTATATGAAATGACATTATAAAATTCCAGAAATTTTGTTATGTGCAAACTCAATAAAAAGTCACTATGATTTAAACATCTTTGTGTCAAAATAGCAAACATACCTTAGGATGTGATTCATGCGCTAGAAAAATAAAATGATAGTTAAAAGTTAAAAAAAAAAAAAGAATTAGTCTTCTAGTTTACTGTACTTTCAATGGGGGGAAGAAAGGCCAAAAAACCATATAATGGTACTTTATATAACTGAGTAAATATAAAAGTATATATGTGGTTTTGCTACCTTAAGACACTTTACTCTTTCAAAATACATTACTAATTATCGTTTATTAGGGAGAATGTGCCACTTTCATTTCTTTTACTTCATTCTAATGATTATTACCATGTCCAAATCCTCTACAAACGAATATATCTGGATGGTATATTATTCATAGTAACAGTCTGCAAACATTTCCAGTAGTAACTTTTTCTAATTTTATATTTTGTTTTTCTGTAATGAGGGAAAAAAGAACAGTAATGTTGATTCCAATTTTTATAGCGCTTTAAATGCATTAAATAATTTTCCCTAAGTAATTTTCATTATTTGAATGTATGAAAAATTGTTGAGAACAGGAATAATTTTTGACATTGTAGCAAGAGAAACAGAACCAATAATGTTTAAGCAGTGACATTCTGCCTAGGTGCTTGGAATTTATTTTGTCATTTTAAACTCATACCGATGCTAGAAGTAGGCATTATAATTCCATTTTATAAAAAAAAAGGAAAACAAAGCTATTATGTTCAGTGATCTTATTTTGCAAAAGATCACTGAACTAGGATATGAAGGAATTGAGATTTGAATCCAGAACAATCTTGAGCTAAACACTGCCTTTTCATGTTTGTTTGTTTTTTTAAGATTTTATTTATTTATTCATGAGAGACACAGAGAGAGAGGCAGAGACACAGGCAGAGGGAGAAGCAGGCTCCATGCAGGGAGCCCGATGTGGGACTCGATCCCAGGTCTCCAGAATCACACCCTGGGCCACAGGTGGCGCTAAACCGCTGAGCCACCCAGGCTGCCCGCCTTTTCATGTTTATCTTAATGTTAAGGTTATTGAGAAAAGATATGAAGTCTTTAGATTAATGAATCAACACAGTTTCAAAGCTCATAGTTCTCCTTTATTCCTTCATCTGATAATGCCGTGAATATTTAATTGCGTGTACGGTGTAATGCTAGCTATTGCCTAGGCTATCCATAGAAAAATAAAATCCAGATTCTGCCTTCAAGGAGCCTGGAATTAAGAGCAAAGTAGGTAAGAGATGTACACATAACCACCTTATCCAATGTAGATTGCTATACTACACTACATTGCAAAAGACAGCTTTAACATTTAACAACTTTAATATACATTGTTTGAATGTGATACAAAGACTATCATTTTAAATACAGGATACCTCACTATAGCGAGGGTGATGATAACAGGAAAAAGTAAGTCTTGGTGGAAATTTAACGGCTATAGAGAAAGGATGAGAATTGAAGCAAATTGAAATAAACAGAGGCAGAGTTAGGAAAATGTATTATTATGATGGGATAATGAGTAATATTTATTTTGCCCCACTATCCCAGGACTATCCTGGATGCTTTACGTGTGTTATTCAATTAAGCTTAACACTACCCTAAATTTGGTGGTTATGATTCTCCTAATACAGATGGGGAAATTTAGGCTCTGAGAGATATATATTTTCTTCAAGGACACACTGGTATGGAATAATAGAACTAATATTTTCTGATACTTAAATTCATGCTTTTTCTACACCATACTGCTTTCAAAATAAATAGTTCAATTTGGGGAGAATGTGGAAGGTTTGTTCAAGGGACTAATAAAAGTTTATACCACCAGTATAGATTAGGCTGAAATAATCGAAGGCTTCAAATGGTGGGCTATAGATTTTAAACATTATTTAGTGAGGAATTGGTGCCTTCATTAGAGTTAAACCAGAGAAAAAGAACCAGAGCGATCTGTGTATTAGAAGAGTTAGTATAAGGAATTAGTTTCTGTGAGTGTGGGAGCTGTTAAGTCCTAAATCCACAGGTCAGGCCCTCAGGAGGGCAGACTGAAGTTTGCAGGCAGGAGCTGAGGCCACACTCATCAAGTGTACTTTCTTCTGTTAGGGAAGCTGCCATTGTGCTCTTAAAGCTTTTCAACTGATTGAAGCAGACCCATCCCAGTAACCTAGGATAATCTTCTTTACTTAAAGTCAGCTGATTATGGACTTTAATCTCATTTACAAGATACTTTCACAACAACACCTAGATCAGTGTTCAAGGAACTGGGGACTGTAGTCCAGCCAAATTGACACACAAAACCAACCATTACAGTTGAGGTTATTAAAATACTTTGAACCCTTTGCAAAAGAGTTCTGCTTGCAAAAACATTCTGATTCTTCTTCAATCAGTTTATAACCTAGTGAAGTGACACAATCTAACAGTTCTGAAGGAAGAATAAAATGCCCATGGTCCAAAGGATTAACTAAAGAGAGGCATGGAGAGCAGCCCGGGTGGCTCACCGATTTAGCACTGCCTTCAGCCCAGGGCCTGATCCTGGAGACCTGGGATTGAGTCCCGCATCAGGCTCCCTACATGGAGCCTGCTTCTCCCTCTGCCTGTCTCTCTCTCTCTCTCTCTCTCTCTCTCATTAATAAAAAAATCTTTAAAAAAAAAAATAGAAGGGTGGAAAGCACTTAGGATGTAAGATGAACCACAGCAGTGCATGTAGTAGAATGCAATGCTTGCAGTTGGGGTGTAGGGAGGCTTCGCAGGGGAGGTAGTTGCCAAAGTGAAGTCTTTTTTCTTTTTTTTTTTTTTTAAAGACTTTATTTCTTTATTTTGAGAGTAAGAGAGCACAAGCAGAGGGTGAGGGCAAAGAGAGAGGGAGAAGCCAACTCTGCTGAGGAGGGAGCCCAATGCAGGGCTCTATCCCAGGACACTGAGGTCAGGACCTGAGCTGAAGGCAGACATTTAACCAACTGAGCCACCCAGGAGCCCCCAAAGTTAAGTCTTGAAGGGTGAATAGGATAACCCAATAAAAGAAAAGGAAGATGACACACAGAACAGCATGTACCAGATGAGGAGAGAGGTAATGTGGCTTCTTATAAGAGCTGCAAGTTACTGTACAGCTAGAATATAGAGTGCCTGTAGGAGAGGGAACAGTGGATTTCCAACGAATATTGTCATCATTGCCAGATGAGGAAACAGAGCTTCAGATAAGCTAAATGGATTAGTCTAATTGACAAGGAACTAGAAGGCCAAGAGTGGAATTAAATTTACATCTGACTCCAAAATTTATATTCCTTCTACATGACAGGGTCACTCAAATTATACAGGTAGTTTCTGATTATCACCATTATAGGCAGTGAGTATCTTCTTTTTCTTTAAATTTAATTTTTGCTACAATTCCTCTTAATTGTATTCCGCATGTAACTTCAACATATTCTTCTCCTTTGCTTTTTCCAGTTCAGATGTTACTTGCTTTAGAACTAAATATCCTTATTTTGCCACATGCTTTTATTTATTTTCTTATTACCTAATAAAATCCCAAAATATTAACTCCTTAAACCAAGTCTCATAATTCCACCTTGACCTGTATAGTTTGAACTCCTTGAAGACCTAGTACAGAGCATAGCATAGAGTGTGCAACTTAATAAATGCTTGTTGGATGAAGGAGTGATCATAATGCACCAGCATGGCTTATTTTCTTCATCAGGTGATCAGGGCATCAACTTATGATAAAGTAGAAAATGTCCTCCACTCTTATTATTTAGAAGCCTTTTAATCTCCAATTCAGCTGAACTGAATTCTTTATTATTTCATTACCCACAAGTGGATGTCATTGGTATCAATGTCTGCTTTAGGTATCAAAGGATTAGATTATTATACCATATTACACTGACTCTAGAAAATCCCTGTAATTGTTTTTAGATACTCTTTTAAACTTCTTTTGTTATTATTTTATTATTCTCAAAATGATGTGAAACCACCTCTTAAGATGAATACATGCCTCAGCCACCTTCAGTTTTAGACTCCAACTATCCACATCTGTTTGAGATTTGCAGCTTTCTATGGGATTTCCATTGCTATCTCGCACATCTCCATTCCCAGTGCTATTCACTTACAGGTTTCTGTATTGCCTCCTGGGACTAATGCAAAGAAGTAGGGAAGGAGAGTGTAAAAATGAAGGTAATAATAGCAGCCATTATGTATTAGCCATAATGACATTCCAGGCATTTTGTTAAGCTATCTTGATCTATTGTAAACTTTACCAGCCTGGATAAGTAGATATGGAATTATTATTCCCATTTTATAAATGGGATGAAATTAAGTCTCAGTACATTTTGTATTTTGCTCATGGTTGTATATAGTTGTACTTAGAGCAAGTGACTGAGCCAGAATTTGAATTCTGATCTGTGTAGTTCTAAATGCTTAATCACATTGCTGTGTTTCACCTTCCTTTTTACAACTATTTCCTAGTTTATCCTTGTTTCCTCCTTTCTAGTGACTTTTTATGCCTGTAAGGGGGACTTACAAAGAGGAAACAAACTCTTGCCTCTGCAATTCCTCTGCAAGGAACCCTGCAATTCCTTTACTCCAGTACGTAATTCTTAATTCTCACCTTATTTAGTTTTGGCTAGCAAAGCAAGAGTCAAAACAAGAGACAGATGAACAAGAACACCTTATTACCCCTCCATTCCTGGTTTTTTCCTCCAGTACCATTCCTAGCAACTTCCCATAGGTGTGTTGTTTTCCCAATCACTAGAATGTCCCTGAAGCTTACTTCATTACTCATGGCCCAGAGCACTCATAGGCCTGTCCAGCCCATGGAGGCCATCACTCGTGTCTTACATTGAGAAACTCCTTTCTTGTTTGGCAGGTGGTTGGGAAGAGAAGATATGATGAATGAACACACTGTGGTTGGGCAGTGGAGAGAGGAGCATGGGCTGCATGTCAAGTTGGAGTTTGAATAGATAGAAGCATTGTTCCAAATGAAGATTAAGTCCCACAGTTTATTGTGTATTAAATGGGCTTTTGGGAGCTAGTCGGGAAGCTCAATCAACATTTATAAGATTGTTACTAAGGACAAATATGTTCAGAGTTCCAAACAAGTTACTTGCAAACAAACTTGAGGAACATAGTTACTTTTAAATTGAGAATTGCCTAATTGCAACAGTTCTGGGATATCCAACTTTTTCTTCTGTAATAATGCTTCTCCAATGACAGATTTTTTTTTTAAATGCAGCTCTTCAATTAATCAGGTAGTTTTGTGGAACCACTGAAAGAAAGTAGTAATATGTCTCTTCACTTTATAATCTCTTTTAAAAACCTATCAATTAGCATGAATTTAGAAGTGTTTCAATGTTCTGTTTGATTTTCAGAAACCAAGCCACCTCCTGTCATGTAGTTTTATAGCTGTTGGTGTTTTAGTAGCATTTTTCCTGCTGATTCAGGACTGTCCCTGGACTTACTACATATATTGTTTGTTGCCAGTGCCAATATGGTATGCTGTGCTAAGAGAGTAAGTAACATGTCTTGATGTCTTATTTTGTACTTCACCAACAGTGAAATCTGTATTTAACGTGCATTAGATTTCTGTAGCATAAATCTTCAAAGATATTTATAATACCCTTCAATCTCTGAGCCCTCTCACTTCATTTACAATAGCATAAATGCTGCATATGAACATCTTTTTTGTTTTGACTTTTCCTTTTGACTTCATCTTTATTGCCCTGAGTTAGTATTGACCTTGTTCCTTTCTTTGTGTATCCTTTATAAGAAAAATCTGGGCTACAGAAAGAATAATTAATATTGATGGTACTATGCCAGGAGTAACTTATATTTTGAATCTGTCTCATCATCTAAGATTTCAGTGTATCTTCATGTTTCACAAGGAAATGTACATGTTTTCTTTCCACACATTTTTACCCTTCCTTTCATAGCTATCATGTAAACCTAACTAAATGGAACTTTGTAATTAAATCCAGGCCACCATAGAGAGTGGTGGATATTAGTCCCATGTGCTATGGTTCTTCCCTTAAGTGCCTCCTCACAAGCTGGAAGTAAAATGGATTCTTACCATTGTAGAAAACATCAGAGGTAGGGCTCTCAGGCAAGTTTTGAGCACTTTAAAAGAAAACCACTCAAATACTGGGCTAGTTCATGTTCACAGACGTGTTGCACATCTTGTTGCTATATTTGCAACAGTAATCTAGAATTTAAACTTAGTCTTGGGCATCCAAGCATCCTCTGAGCAAACCAGACCCCAAAAGCAGACCAGGGAAGGAGAGCCCAGACTTAAAGGGTATTTTCAGAGTTGTCCTGAAAATTTTCAGGGTTGGCCATCATGTTTGTCATGACACAATGTGTATTTTTATTCTAATTTTTGTTAACTCCAACTTTGACCACATCTTCTATATGACCCATGTTAAAATATCAAAAATAAAAATTGATATTAAAATGTTTAAAATATTATCATTTAAAAGTGTAAGTGAGGAATGCCTGGGTGGCTCAGTGGGTTAAGTTTCTGCCTTTGACTCAGGTCGTGATCCCAGGGTCCTGGGATCAAGCCCCGCATTGGTCTTCCTGCTCCCCATTTGTGCTCGCTCGCACACTCTCTCTCTCTCTGTCAAATAAATAAATAAAATCTTTAAAAAAGAAATAGGATAAGACAAAAAGAAACTAACAAAAGGACTTGGTGTTGCTTCTCCATTTGAAAGGAATGGGATTGCTGGATATATGTACTTAAATCAGATTGTTTTCTAGTCTGGTTTAAAATTAATCTCTGGTTTAAAAATTTTTAGAATGAAAGTTTTATTCTTGCAGAAAATTCTATTCTACTACAGAACCTCTCTTAAATTATTAAATGTCCTATTTATGAAGATGACATCTATGTTTAAAATTTGAGAGGAAATGTGATTTTGAATGTATGTTGCGTTCTATCTTTTTGGTAGATTAAATAGAAAATAAAACATAAAAATTCACTTTTCTTCTAAAGTCTTATAAAATCTTCTGAATAATTTACAAAATCATCTCGTTTTCTTGTGCTAGCTCACTGTTGAGAACAAAAGAAGCATTCTTCTTTGGACTGGTGTTATCTTTACTTTTCTACATGGCCCCTAAATAGTTTTGATAATATTATGTGACCATTATTTTCAATCAGAAAAAGATAATAAACCAAATGATACTGACTTTTTGTAATTACCTTCTTAATCACTACAAATGCTAAAATTTTTTCCAGTGATGAAATGTAAAAAGTACTCAAGTATGTAATACATTTTTAATGGTTATGGATTCACATTTAATTACAGTGAGTGTATAATTAGCAACGTCTTAAATTGGGTTTGGAAAAGGTTATTTAGTTCAGTGAAAAAGTACAATTAAGATTTTCTTTACCTAAGGGGCAGCCTGGGTGGCTCAGCGGTTTAGCACTGCCTTCAACCCGGGGCATGATCCTGGAGACCTGGGATCAAGTCCTGCTTCAGACTCCCTGTGTGGAGCCTGCTTCTCCCTCTGTCTCTGCCTGTGTGTGTGTCTCATGAATAAATGAATGGAATCTTTAAATAAATGAATGAATAAATAAACAAACAAATATAAATGGCCCAAATTAAAAAAAGATTTTCTTTACCTAGATTTGGAAAACCTATGTTTATTAAGACAGTGGAAATTTTGATATAAGATTAACCTTGCTGAATTTAAATTTTTTTCTAGTTTTTATCCATTTGGTTCATTATATTTTATTTCTGATCATGTATCTGTAATTGGGTGTTCTCATGTTTAAACTAAGATCAACACTTATTTACCATTAATGTTTATTTTTAAAAACAAACTTTTGTGATCATTATCAAATTAATTCAGAAATTATGCTTTTTCCTAAAATACTTCTAGCTTTCAAAAAAAAAGATTTAAATAAGTGAAGCCATTGAAAGAAATTGGTTAGAGATTATATTAGGTTTTGAATAACTATGAATTGAAAAGTCCCTGATTTCTAGGGTTGTGCGGTTTTTATATTTTACCACATATGACCTAATTTTTTTTTGTTCAATATGTAGTATAAATAATCTTGTTAAACAGGTTTCAAGTCATTCAGGACTTTGTCATATCACTGTTGACCTTTCCTCCAAGTCAGTTGGCTGGCTACCTGTTCATCTTTACCTTGGGAATTGAAGTATTAGTGAGTAATTTATCGCATTACAGAATTTTCAGATCTCTTTCATACATATGTAACTCCTTTTAAATGACCTCATTTTTCATTTCTTCTTTGGAATGCATTGCTAGGTTCTCAGTTTTTTCTACCGCTACATGCTCACAGCTGGACTTATTGCATTTGCCTGTTGGCCATTTATCACTCAGCTATGGACTCGAGCAAAGGTATAAGTACTTGTTTTGACATTGGACAGATTAGTAGCTACTTTGTTTTGATATGTATTTAACTCAGGGAATTGTTCATTTATAAAGAAAAGGGTAAGACGTATCCTTACATAAAGAGCCTTTTGACAGGAGGACTGAGGTTACCATTAAGTGATTCTCATACACTTTGATATCAAAATGAATTGGTCATGCCGTGATTGAAATACTCAGAGTCAGAACTGGTATATCCCTCTGTAAATCACTTCCTAGATTCTGTTAGCCTCAACTAGCTAAGGAATGGTTGTCTAGAGCAATGCAGTGGCTTAGGAGGCTTTGCTCTGAACTCAAGTCAGAAAAGTCACCGTTCTCCTACTCCTGGGAATAGGTTCATGCTTCCACATTGAAACTTTTTGATGTAGGTACCAGGAGGATAGAAATATCTTCTTTCCACCTTGTGAGAACTTACTAAATTTTCCAATTAATAGGGTTATTGATAATTTTTTGTCTTAATCTACTTGCAAAAGTATTTTTACTTCCCTCCTGAGCTCTATCACTTGATTATGACTGCAGGCCAGTTTTCTTATAGATATCAGCATATGGTATAACATAAATTGATTGAAGCCCTTGCTGTGAAATATGACCCAGGTTTAAATCCTGGCTGTTTCATATACTGGTCACAGACCTGGGAACTCTTATACTTTAACATCTCTGAGTTCAGTTTCCTCATCGGAAATACTATGAGTAATATAACCTACTTCATAAGGTTATTGTGAGAATTTAATCAGATAAGGCTCATCTTATACCCAACAGTGCCTACTATTTGACAAATCCGCCCCCAGGAGGAACTGTATTGCATTTTAAATAGTTCTAAAACTTTGTGTGTAGTCTTCACAGCCATGAAGTCTGCAAAACACTAAAGCCAGTTTTCTTTACCATACTTGTCTAAAGATAACTTTTTTATTTATTTCAGAGCATCTCACTGAGTTGGATTTTCTTCTCTTTGCTCCTGGCAGTATTCCCACTGATGCCTGTTGTAGGAAGAAAGCCAGATATCTTTCTAGTGTATGAACAATATTTTAACTTATTTGCTTTTGAGTATAATTGTTTTTCTCAGTCAACACTATGAAATATAAACCTCATCTTGGTTATGAGTCTCAAAATAAACTAGTGAATAAACTAAAAGTTAAAATACTAATATCAAACCATTAGTGGTAATTTTGGCTCAGTCTCTGAGGAGCATTAAAGCTCCCTGGAGATACTTCTGGGCCTATCAAAAAAATAAAATTGAGCCAAACAGTGATAACTTAAAATGCAAAAGAAAAAAAAAGTCTAGAGGCTTTTGTATATTGAGGAATCAGTAAAGGTTTCATATGAGAAAATTGTTCTGTTTGCCAAAAATGAAAATATCTAAAAGCCAGTGATGTAATCTTTGTCTTTGCCTTTGAACATGTTCACACTTTAAATGTCATAGAATAATGAAATTCTCTCCTAATCTGCATGTAATGATCTCTAGGGGAGGAGACTCTGTACCTTGACTTTATATCTAATTAAACTGTTAGAAAATTCTGTATACCTTACCTAATTCTCCATGTTACTGTCACATTTATTTCTTCTCAGTGTATACCAAATCTGTAAAAATTGATTACCTTTACTTTTGACCTATTTTTAAATTATTATCAAGAAGTCTAGCTGTGTGTGTGTGCACATGTGTGTGCATGTGTGTGCTCAGCAAGCTAAATGATCTCTATTTCATGTAACATTCCCTGTCATTTTCTAATCATGTAATCATCTTTGTTACTTTGTTTTGAACTCTGTATAAGCAATTTTTTTTTAGCATTTTAACCTAATCTTTGATAAGGGTATATCTTTTTTAACTGAAGGAATATTAACTAAATTATATTCTTAAAGTATGTGTTAATTTTTGAGCATGTGTTATTTATCAGGGAACACATATTATCTCATTTCTGTGAAGTACTAGTATAGAATAAGTCAGGAATTAGTCCAGAAAGTCAATTTATTAGCAAAAAAAACGAAAAGAATTGTATGGAATTCTAAGACCATACTTCTAAGTCATAATTTATTAGTTTTACTAAGTAAAAACATTTTGTATCTGTCATAAACTATAATAGTATGTAAGAAGATTAATTCAAATATTTTCATTTATTTCTTGCTTCATATTTCTGTGTGAGCTCTCCTGTTGTCTTTATAAAACTCCTTTCCCTGCTTTGGTCAGTTTCTGCTTTTCTGTCCTGTTCAAGCAGTGTTGACATAGTTGAGCAGAATTTATATGGTAAAAGGAGAAGAGATTATATAAAGGGTCTCCATAGAAATTTGCCACTTGCATATTTTACTAAAGATGAATGCAAGAAGCAAACTTGCTAAAACAGGAGAAATCCTAATTTGTATTTTTTAAAATTATGTTTTTTCCCCCTCTCTGCTTCTTAATTTAAATTCCTCAGTGATTTAAGTTTGTGCTGGTGTTCTAGTGGTTATATTGCAACTTGTTTATTTTGACTTCTGGTTCATGGAGAAATTTCTGCTCTCCATTTGATCTCTCCCATCACCTCCCTTCATTAGAAACTTAACAAGACAGATATGTGAAACATTTAAAGTTAAATTTAAAAAGAAAAAATTAAAATTAAAGAAAAAAGCAAAAATAACATAGCTATGATATTCTTCTTACTCAAATCTCTAAAATAAAAACATATTTGCCAATGAATTAAATTATTCAAAAGTTTAAAAATATATAAATTATCTTTTAAAAAAAAGAAAAAGCAAAGAATCTTGATCATAGATCACTGTTTTCTTAAGCTTAAATGGTAATCCATGTTGAATGTAGAACTTTTTTCCCTTACAATTTTCAAAAAGAGTCTGAAAAGAATCCAAACAAAAGCAAAAACAAGCAAGTATTTTCCTAGGAATTCCTGCTTTCATTCATTTTTAGCCCTGCCTTTTGCTTTCTTATTTCTCTTTAGCTACCTCCTTTTCTCATACTTGTTAAATTGCCTGCTTCCAGATTCTGTCCTCAACTATTTCAGTTGTCCTATGTTACTCAGATTTTTAGGAGGTGAGAAATACAGCTTTAACATTAGTATACCATTTTCTTGGTATCAGTTTCCTTCAACCTCAGGAACCATACTATACCTAGTGTTCTTAAAAAAAAGTATAATTTGTTGGGGCACCCGGATGCCTCGGTAAGTTAAGCATCTGATTCTTGATTTCAGCTCAGGTCATGAGGTTCATGTCTCAGGTTGTGAGATTGAGCTGGCTCACATCAGATTCCATGCTGGCATGAAGCCTGCTAAATATTCTCTCCCTCTGTCCCTCCACAATGCCCGCCTCCTCTTATAAAGAAGGAAAATGTAGTTTGTTGTTTCCTTACTGTTCAAATGCCTCACCTACATGTTACCTTTGTGGCCTCTGTCCTACCCTTCCTTTAGCCAGGAGCAGCTGAGGAAAGCACCAAGATTAATGATAGAACCATTGTGTTCTGCTAGCAATACTAGGGATTAGAAATGTTGATCCTTTTTGTATGAGTAAGTGCTCATAATCAGAAAATTTATGTTGTAGATACTGATGATGTGTTTAACTATTTTTTATATTGTTTTTCTGTAAATGTATCCAAGTCAGACTAAGGACTTGGTATGCATAAAATCTTTAAAAATCAAAGTAAAGAAATAAGGCAAAAATATCTAAAAATTTGTAAGGAATTAAAAATAACCCCATCCCTACTGCATCTTCCTCCTGTGATTTTTATACCTATATACCTGTATATCTATTTTGCTCCCTCATCATGATAAAACCAAATGACTGATAGAATCTACATTAGAGTAAAATATCTAACATTTTTATATGATGCGTGTTCAGTAAATATCTTAAGGAAATTTAAAATTGTGAATTGTGTTTTAAAACAGAATAGGAGCTGGCTCGCTGGTTCTTCTGCTGTCCCTGTGTGTTCTAACATCTCTCATAAAAAGAAAAGATCGTTTTATAAATGAAGAGCTGCTGTTACATCTGTTTCAGGTCAGTTGCAGATTTGTTTGTTTTTTTAAGATTTTATTTAATTTTATTTATTTATTCATGAGAGACACAGAGAAAGAGGCAGAGACACAGACAGAGGGAGAAGCAGGCTCCGTGCAGGGAGCCCGATGTGGAACTCGATCCCGGGACTCCAGGATCATGCCCTGGGCCAAAGGCAGGCACTAAACCGCTGAGCCACCCAGGGATACCCAAGATTTTATTTATTTATTCATGAGAGACACAGAGAGAGGCAGAGACATACATAGGCAGAGGGAGAAGCAGGCTCCTTGCAGGGAGGCTGATGTGGAATTTTATCCCAGATCTATGGGGTCACGCTTTGAGCCAAAGTCAGACACTCAACTGCCGAGCCATCCAGGTGTCCCAAGTTAGTTACAGGTTTTCGACACCATATTACACTAATGATATACCAAATGGATCTTATGATTGTATTTAATGATATTGTTCTTTAGATGCCATCACGTTTACATTGCTCAATACCTGCCGGTTGAGAAGAAAGTTCTCTGTTTAAGATATTACATGGAAAAAAAAAAGATATTACATGGAAATATAGTCTCTAAGGGGTATGAAATAGCCAAAAAGTCAGCAGACAAGCCCAAAGATGCCAAGAGAGCAGAGATTAAGGAGATATAAGAGGCATCTGTATTCACCCAAAAGTTGAACTGAGATTTGGACTGAGATTCTTATTGTTCTCGTTTGCGTCAGGGGAAGGGTCATTTTCTAGTGAAAGCAGCCTCTGAGTATGTTTATATGAAGAATATAGCCAGTTTAAGACTTCAGATGATGTGCCAGGGAAGGTAGACTTCACCATGGTTACTGGCTTTGGTGGTGAAAAGAACTTTGAACTTGAGGTTTCAAAATCGAATCAATTCGCATTTATACTGTGTACTTAATATGTGATTTCCATTAATATAGCTTCAGTCTGTTTTTAATCTGTAGCTATAATATCTAACTGAGTTGTGTGAATTAGAGAGTATATAATGTTATATTCTATAAACGACAGCTGTTTTCTATGTAAGCATGGAAACCACTTTTTTTTTTAACAATAAAAAATTTTAAAAACACTGACAAAAGAAAACTTATAGGTGTCTTCTCAAAAAATTTCCTCAGAACAAACCTGGGATAATAGAAAGTAATGCCAAGAACACTCTAAAATAAAAATATAGCATCACTTAAAAGGTGTTAGTTTGTCCTTAGAGAACGATGGAGAACATATAAGAAGACAAGAAGAAGTATTTTGTCAAATGTCTTATCAAGACATAGGAATGTATATTTCATTTTAAATGGTGTATCAACTGGCTTTACACTAAAGCACACAGGTAACATTGACAGAATTCACCTATAATTATGACTACTTTGGCAGAAATGAATGTTCCTGGATCCCACTCTACAGGAGCAAATATAATGTTAAAATTCTTAGAGTCCTTATTAGAAATATCCCTGAGTATAAGGTAAATCTGTTGCAAAATTTCTTTTTTACAATAACTTTATTAATTTAGATTAATTGCTCTATTGTGTAGCATATTTTTGATGATTCCAAGATAAATATCTTTTATTTTTTTTAAGATTTTATTTATTTATTCATGGGAGACAGAGAGAGAGGCAGAGACACAGGCAGAGGGAGAAGCAGGCTCCACGCAGGGACGTGGGATGTGGGACTCGATCCCGGGACTCCAGGACCACACCCTGGGCTGCAGGCAGGTGCTAAACCGCTGAGCCTTCCAGGGATCCCAATAAATATCTTTTAACATATTAATGTCTCTGACATGAGAATATGTCTTACCGTTGAAAGGATCCTAGGATTATGTCATAGCTTTGTCAACGGCATTTTTTTCCCTAAATTCACTGATAATATAAAATAAATTAAAAGTATCTTAAGGATTGGTGACGAGGTTGCTAATCTGATCTCTAGGAGATTTTACTTTGTTTACAGCCATAGCTGTCTTTCTTAAAAATGGCAAATAATTCACTGGTTCAGGGGTTGGAAGATAATTTTTTAAAAAGCCAGATTATAAGTATTTTAGGCTGTGGGTCCTATGGAGTCTGTTGTAAATCCTCAGCTCTACCACTATAACAGAGCGAGCTGTAGACGACACAAAAATGAATGAATGTAGACTATACATAAGTGACTATGTTTAAACAAAACAGTATTTCTAAGAATAGGCTACCAGCCTACAAGCCATAGTTTACCAGTTCTCCACAAGTTTATGTATATTCCCTGAAGATTATTGAACTCCTAGTGTTTCCACTACCGTATGAACATTCAGGCTACAAACAGGTATTGAATCAATGGACATGACTGAGTGAGGGCCACAAGGGGAAGACACTAAACCACATTGCACCGTCTGCATTTCCATGAGTTAGGAAATCTTCAAAATTAATAATGAGTATTTCTAAATAGACATGGTATGATCACATATACTAAACTACTCTCAAAAGTGTCAAATGTCTTATTTTCTGCTTAGTGACAGAGTTCTGTCTTGTAGCCTGGGCTGTGAGAGGGTGAGCTGGTCTAATTTCGGTAGCTTTGGGGCTAGATTCCAGTTGTTCCAGCACTTTTCTAAGGATTCTTTTTATAATATAAGTCTCTCACCACCTTCTCTTCTACTAATGTGATTTGTATTTACTCTCAGATGCTGAGCATAGTGCTTTCCATGTGTGTTGTGTACAGCACCCATCACAGTCTACTCAAGAAACAAGGACTGCCTTTTTTAAACCAGATCATTAGCTGGATAATATTAGGTAAGAGGGCAATCGAGCTAAATGAATTTATGTTATTATATCAAGTCCTATCTTAAAATTCCATTTACATCTGTATTATTGTTACTTCTTTCAGTAACACTTCATTGAATGAAAATAATAATAACCAGCTATGATTTCTAACTCATGCTGGAATTTGACAAAGAAAATTAGAACTTCTATGACCATTCATGTGTTGATAAGAATTACTTGATACAATATTATTGGCCTGATAATAAGGCTATATATATATATATATATATTCACATCTAATAAAATTCTAAGTGATTCCCGAAGAGAAGAGATCCTTATGCTCAAATTTCATGTCAATTCATAAATTCTCCATTCTTACACAGGGACTAGGAAACAGTTCATTTTTATCTTTATTTTCCTTGCTGAGAATAACATTGATTAGTTACCTCCCAACACATTTCACATTTTATAAAGCCAGTTAAATGTTTCAAAACACATTCCTCTATAGTACCTTTACTTAAGGATCCTGAAATGTTCATGTGAAAGAAACAGAAGTAACTTAAAGACCTAGGGTTTCACTTCCAACTGGAAGACAAGACAGGTGCAAACCTGAAGTCCTAGTTTTTCATTAAAAAAAAAAAAAAAGACGTTTTCTGATGTCTATGAGTAATGTGACTTGCAATTTAACCTCTCTGGTTTGTTTTTTTTTTTTTAATTTTTTATTTATTTATGATAGTCACACAGAGAGAGAGAGAGAGAGAGGCAGAGACACAGGCAGAGGGAGAAGCAGGCTCCATGCACCAGGAGCCTGATGTGGGATTCGATCCCGGGTCTCCAGGATCAGGCCCGGGCCAAAGGCAGGCGCCAAACCGCTGCGCCACCCAGGGATCCCTGGTTTGTTTGTTTTTTTAATGATTTTTGGATTGGAACTTTACCTTAAAAGTGATGAAGGCTGTTCTGCAGGCCTTCGCATTAAATTATCTTGATTTAATAAAGTTACTATTTATATTCATTTTGCATAAACAATATTGACAACTACTCCTTCATCCAAAAAAAAAAAAAAAACCCAATGTGTTCAGTTTGTACTATGTTCTGGCACTGTTCTATTCCCTGAGAATAATAAAGATAGACAACATCCCTGCCCTTTTGAAGCATATATTCTACACGGAAGGGGTAGGTAATATTCTAGTAAGGTGACCATAAATAATGATCTCTCACATGACATAATAGTTTTTAAATCCCCAGAAAAAAACAAAAACTATGAATGGGGACTCTCGTATTAAAGGGAAGTCTTTCTGTCATAGTGCATAGCTTCACAAATGCACAGTCATGTACAACACACACCAGCAGATAAATAATATATGGCAAATAGGAGGTCCGATATAATTAGTAGCAATGCAGCTCTTGCTCATTCCTGTACAGTGCAGCCTCGCTCACCTCCTTAGTTTTCTTACCTACCTAGGGGTAAACTACAGTGAAGAAGAGAAGCAAAGAAAACACAACTTGTGCACATTTCATTATATCTCATTTCTAAACGTCTACAACTTATAAAAAGGTTTTTAAAAAAAGAACATTTATCAGAATTACAGAAAGCCATCCTTCACTCATGTGCTTGTCCCTTATCTGTGTTTATGAATATATATGTACACTTAAAATTTTTAGATGCCATATTCAGTATTTTTATTTATTCTGCTTTCCTTATGTTAATTTTTCAGTCAACCTAGCAATGTTCATGGCATTGTTTTCTTTCTTTGTCTTTTATGACATTGATATTTTTGAAGAATATAACCAACCACAACCCCCACCCCACAATGGATTGTTACTCAATTTGGATTTGTCTGATATTTCCTTATAATTAAATTGAGGTTAGGCATTATTGGCCAGAATACTGCATAAGTGATGCTGTGCCCTTCCTAAGGTCACATTTGGTGGTGCATGATCTCTATCTGTCCCTCATTGTTGATGTTAATTTGTATCACCCTATCAAGGTGTTACCCATTTTTTTCACCATAAATTTACTGTTTCCCCCCCTTCCCTTGCTACTAATAAGCTGTCAGTGAGGAGACACTCTAAGACCAGCAAATATCCTCATCAAAATTTCTCCCTAGATGTAACATCCATTCATAAGTCTTTCCTGATCCAATATTTGTCATGACAGCCACAAAATGATTCCCATTGCATTTACCAGAGGTTCTCTGCATTCTTTTCTGAGAATCTTCCCTTCTTTCCTGTACATTCATTCATTGACTTAGCTATTTATTATTTTTGTGGACTCAGGAACACTTATTTTTTAAAAAATTTATAACTCATTACTGTTCATACTTTGGGGCTTAAATTGTCCCAGACTTGGCTAGAGAGAGCCCCTTCAAGCTAGCTTCTAAATACACACCCATCCACCCCCATAATTTTTTTGATCACTTTATTTTCTGGCATTGAGAAAATGTTTACCTTATAAAGTTTACCTTATATCCACACTGTCCCAGCTCTGGAATCAGTTATTTCTCTGAGGAGCCATAGTTCTTTTTATTGGGTGAATGGTGCCATATGTACTCATCACTACTGGGGTATCTGCTTCTTTGCCCTTCAATAGACAGAGCTAGGAAATATGTACTCTTATATACATATAACTTCTCTTATATATAGATACATATACACACATATGTTAACACATACATGCACATAAATATGCATATACACATATTTCAGAGATCATAAGTTCATGCTGATACCTATATTTCTATCTATTCTTTCTTGCCTTCCCCCATTTCATATTTATATGCTCTTCCCATGATGATAGCTAACCCTGGCTTCCAACATCATCAATATGTGTACTCATTTGTTTAGTCCTATAGCACATCTAAAGCAATTTCAGGAATGTTTCACCCATGCCATCACAATAAACAATATTATTCAAGATTTGTTTGTAATTCTCACTCTGCCCCCTCACTTCACCTTGTCCAAGACTAAAGGTTTATGGTTAAATATTGTGTTCATATTTATTTAGATTTGCCTGCCTGCCTCCCTCCCTTCCTTCATTTTGTTTACGGTGATTATGATATTCATTTGAAACACAACTAGGTTTGTTTCAGTTTGCTGTTTTGGTTTTTTTTTTTTCTTTCCTATTCTTTTTTATTTAATTTTTTGAATATGTACAATATTCACATGCTTCCAAACATAGAAACTATACAAAAAGGTATACTCAAAGAAGTGCTGTATGTAGTACTTTCACCCCATTCTCATGTATCTCCAGTCCTTAATGGGCTATAAACGTCATTGCTTTCTAGTTACCCTTTATGTGTTTCTCTGATATAAGTATGTTTTCCTAATTTTCCTCCTTTCTTACATAGAAGCGGAAGCATTTTATATATCCTCTTTTGTACTTTGCATCTTTCACTCAATACCTCTTGGTAATCACTTCATATCAATTCATAGAGCTCTTCTTTATTCTTTTTTTACAGCTATTTAGTTTTCCAATGTGTGTGTATTCCATTGTTTATATAACCAGTCTCCTATGCTTTCATGTTTAGGTAGGTAATGATTTTTTTTTTTTTAATTACAAATAATCCTGCAACAAATAACATTGAGCATATGCATAGTTCATACTGTTAGGTATATTTTCAGAATAAATTCCTAGAAGTTATATTATTGATGCAAAGGGTAAATGTGCACATAGTACTTTTAAATATTGCTAAATTCCTCTCCAGAGATGCACCATTTTTCATTTCTGCCAACAATATAGGAAGAGTGCCTATTTCTCCATAGGCTCACCAGAGTCTTTTTTTTTTTTTTTTAATTTTTTTTTTTTTAATTTATTTATGACAGTCACAGAGAGAGAGAGAGAGAGGCAGAGACACAGGCAGAGGGAGAAGCAGGCTCCATGCACCGGGAGCCTGATGTGGGATTCGATCCCGGGTCTCCAGAATCGCGCCCTGGGCCAAAGACCGGCGCTAAACCACTGCGCCACCCAGGGATCCCTCACCAGAGTCTTTTAAATTTATGCCAGTCAATAAGTTTATGCCAGTGACAATCAATTATGTTCAAGCTTTGGAATTTATGCCATTTTAAATTTAAGAAATGGTATCTTTTTGTTTTTAATTTGTATTTTTCTTATTATGAGTGAAGTCAAACATCGTTTCACATGCTTAAGGGACATTTCTATATCTCTAATGGGAAGGATCTATTCATCTGTTTTCCCTAGTTTTTTATAAAATTTTTGGTTCTTTGCTTTTATTTTTAAAAGCTCTTTATGGGCAGCCCAGGTGGCTCAGTGGTTTAGCGCTGCCTTTGGTCCAGCGCATGATCCTGGAAACCGGGGATCGAGTCCCACGTCGGGTTCCCTGCATGGAGCCTGCTTCTCCCTCTGCCTGTGTCTCTGCCTTTCTCTCTCTCTCTCTCTCTCTCTCTCTCTCTCTGTCTCATGAATAAACAAAATCTTTTTTAAAAAAATTAATAATAAAAGCTCTTTATAAATTAGGGATATTAGTCCTTTACCTATGATATATGTAACAGAATTTTTTCCCAATTTGTCACATGTCTTTTCACTATGCTTATGATGTCTTTTTGCCCTGCAAATGATTTCTAATTTTGTATACTCAGACTTCTTTTAATGCATCTGACTTTTTGGTCACAGAAAGCTGTTCCTGGTACCTACGTTATAGAGGAATTCAGTCATATTTTCTTCTAGTACTTGTATACTTTTACCTTTTACATTTCAATCTTTGATTTAGTTAGAGTTAATTATTCTAAATGTATGGTATAAAGAAAGGATTTAATTTTATTTTTTCCAAATGACTATCCATTGTCATTAATAAAGACTTGATTTAACACTTTTATCATACATTAGATACACTGGCCTATTTCTAGACTTTATATTCTATTCCAGTTATATGCCTATTCATGTGCCAGTCGCATAATGTTTTAGTTACAGAGACTTCATAGTATATTACAATAAAGTATGAACTTTAGGATCAACTGCTCTAACTACAAAAAAAAAAAAAAGGCCACTGGAATTTTTAAGGAGATCATATTAA